GAATAGGGCCTGTTTATACCTTGCATTAACGTGTTTTCTGTGATTGGATTGTGTTTGATTTCTCTTGAGCACATAAAAAGCCAGGTTTAAACACCCCCAAGATGCACTATGACTGGATTACGACCTGTCAGACGGAGCACTTTAAGAATGTGTGTAAATGGAATGCGTTTTTATTTGGCTCTGCCATCGGGAGATTCCGAGTTTGATCCCTGGTGATGCCACAACCATCCGTGGGCGGGAATCCAAGACAGCATAATAGTCCACGCCCTCTCTGGGTGGGTGATAGCCCTCCCTCTCCCCCATCACTCAGTGCAATACGAGCCAGCTCACGAGTTGCCAATGACTAATATATATATATATATATATATATATATATATATATATATATATATATATATATATATATTTATATATATATATCACTGTTGTCGGAAGGTAGTCTTCTATCTCCAAAATCACAACTTTACAGGAGAAGGAAAAAACATACTTCACTTTTAATGTAAGTCAATGGATCCAGACTTTTTTCCAAGTCATTTTGGGTTGTTTCTTTTGGTCCATTCATCATGAAATTTGCATACAATGTACAGGGCAACAGACATTTTCAAAATATGCCAAAACTGAAAAATGACCAAAATGGAGATACAAGGTTTTCTTACAAGAGCAGCAATATATATATATATATATATATATATATATATATGTATATGTATGTGTATATCCTTGGAAGTCTCATTATTATTGCTGGTACAAATTCTACATTGCCTAATGATTTAGAGTAGTTTATGTAATAACAGTGACATAATAATAACATTTACATTATTTTATATTCTCAATGATCTCAAGCTAAATGAATACTCCAAGGTTTTTCTGATCTCTATCTCTTGCACTTGCACCTGTACCGTACCAGTGAACATCCCCAGACTGTGACGCACAGAAACTTGAAACTCATGAACTCGAAACTCATTTACAAAGGAAACCAGCTGCTGAACTCCACCAGTAAACAGCTGAAAAATGTCCAATATGCTTTAAACATGCATTAAACATGCATACAGGTGTCAGGGTAAGTCTAACAAGGATGGTCTTATAAAGTTCGAACACTATAGCAACACAATAAAAAGCACTTCTGGTTACTTTCGCTTTCTCTAAGGTTTTCTAGTATCCAAGACGTTCAGGTAGAGACTGTGAAAACTCTGACCCCTTGTCTCCTTGTCTCCTTGCCCCTTGGAACTGAGTTACAAACTGTAGTGGCTGAAATCTTTCACTACGAAATGGGAGCCTCAAACAAAAGAACATTACTTCATTAACAGCTACTAGCGCTGCTCTGTAGGCGACCCTGCCAGTCTGCAGTGATAGCAGAGGAGGGTAAAGTTCAGCTCCTCACTGCTGGGCTTTAGTTACATTTAGGGAATCATATGCCTTCAAAGAGGGGGGCCAGTTATTTATTATCACCCACCCCTAATTCTTCAGTGATATGAAGCTCAAGCCAGCTATTTGGCAGCTTCTAGTTCAAACTTTCCCTAAGTGGTAGGGTCAAGGGGTGAAATGGGATTGGGCCTTAATGTTAGACTTGTTTCCCAGAAAAATGGTTTGCTTAGATGCCCAAGACACACATTTTGTCATCCTTTTTTTGGCTGCGTTCTGTATTTGTTTATTTTTCCTATTCTGCACTGCCTGCTTATAATTCCTTATACATGTAAGTGTGCTTGACTAATAAGGTTATTCTGATTCAGATCAACAGGGAGTTTATAAATAAAGTATCTGTAACTGCATAACAGTATTCCTCCAGGCCCAAACTGACATCAGCCATTCCAGCTTACTATGCTATCTTATCTATGCTAGCAGAGAGTGGAAAGTACCCCGTCCATTGTCCCTGCTCCCGATTATCAAAAGTGAAACTGTACTTTTTGTCTGGGAAGGATTTCTTGTAAACAGATACAACTATGAGAACACTCCCGTTTTAGTTTCTTCCCTTTTCCAATACATGACATGTTCAGACACATCATGCATCCAAACATTCAGAACAACAGTTTCCGACAGCCCTGATGAAAGATCAGAAGAATGAAACTCACTGATGCAGGTCTGGAAACTAACCCGTGATATTTTTAGAATTCTGCTATACTGATTCAGAAATGTTGCCCAATTATTTCCATCACATCAGGTTTTCTCTAAATTTATGAAAGCCAATTTATCAGTAAACACCAGTATATAGCCTTGTTAGATCTAGATATAATAATAATGTTATGAATATGATAATAAAAAAAATACAGGGTGACATAAGGAAACTTCTACTCATCCTTGTTTTTTTTTTGATAAGCAATATCTTGTGCTTTTATGTCTCTCTTCTTTTCCTCCTCTTAAAACCATACAACAGTTTAAAATCATACATTTAACATTATAATCTTGACAAAAGAGAGCATAAGGTTTCATTACTGCAATGTGATTCTTCTGAAATGTCATTATAAAGGGTTAAATATCTGAAATATTGCTGGTTCTGTGAGAATGTGTGAGAAAATCAGCACTATTTCTTATATACAGCATTACTGAACTACTGAATTAAAGCATATTTCGCTGTTATCGGAAGAAAACCTCGTATCTCCATTTTTGACGTTTTTCAGTTTTTGACATAATCTGAAAATACTTGTTGGCCTTTACATTGAGTGCAAATTTCATGATGAATGGACTAAAAGAAATGACCCAAAATGACTTGGAAAAAAGTCTGGTTCCATTGACTTACATTAACAGTAAAGTAGGTTTTTTCCTTCTCCTGTAAAGTTACCATTTCAGAGATATGAGGTTTTCTTCCGACAACAGTGATTTAAGCCTGGAGAGCCCAGAGATCATGAAGACCAATGAGATCATATGATATCATAGAAGTCACTGGGTCGACAGTCTGACAACAGCGTTTCAGTTTTGATAGACATATACTGAACAATGCATCCAGCTGACTTAGAGAAAGACTGAGGAAAAAAAAAAGAAAAGAAGAAAAGAAAAGAAAAGAAAGCCATTCCAATATCAACACCAACAGCATCCACTGCAATCTATCTACAGGTTCCTATGTCTTCAGAATGTAACCACAAAAATATTTACACACTAAAGAACCATGTTTGAAGAATCTCTACATGGAAAAAACCTTTTAAAGGTTTAAAGAACTTTCACAAGGTAAAGGTTCAGCACTGGTTCCCTAAAGAACCATGTCTGAAGAACCTGTACATGGAAAAACTTTTTTAAGGTTTAAAGAATCTTCACAAGGTAAAGGTTCAACACTGGTTCCCTAGAGAACCATGTCTGAAGAACCTGTACATGGAAAAAACTTTTTAAAGGTTTAAAGAACTTTCACAAGGTAAAGATTCAGCACTGGTTCCCTAAAGAACCATGTTTGAAGAATCTCTACATGGAAAAAACCTTTTAAAGGTTTAAAGAACTTTCACAAGGTAAAGGTTCAGCACTGGTTCCCTAAAGAACCATGTTTGAAGAATCTCTACATGGAAAAAACCTTTTAAAGGTTTAAAGAACTTTCACAAGGTAAAGGTTCAGCACTGGTTCCCTAAAGAACCATGTTTGAAGAATCTCTACATGGAAAAACTTTTTAAAGGTTTAAAGAACCTTTACAAGGTAAAGGTTCAATACTGGTTCCCTAGAGAACCATGTCTGAAGAACCTGTACATGGAAAAACCTTTTAAAGGTTTAAAGAACCTTCACATGGTAAAGGTTCAACACTGGTTCCCTAGAGAACCATGTCTGAAGAATCTGTACATGGAAAAACCTTTTAAAGGTTTAAAGAACCTTCACATGGTAAAGGTTCAACACTGGTTCCCTAGAGAACCATGTCTGAAGAACCTGTACATGGAAAAACTTTTTAAAGGTTTAAAGAACCTTTACAAGGTAAAGATTCAATACTGGTTGTTCTGTGTTCCTTTGTTATTGTAACACCCAAATTTTCTCTGTGCTATCCACCCATCCATCTATCTATCTATCTATCTATCTATCTATCTATCTATCTATCTATCTATCCATCTATTAGGCCTGAGTACTGGTGCACGCCTATCATTTATCCATGTATCTATCAATCAACCTAACAAATTTTCTACATACTCAAAAAAGATGATTATTCAGTGATTGTTTACTATTTAGAACCATGAGTTCTACGCAGAACTATTTCATGTCTAAATGGTTCTTTGCATGGTGAAATGGTTCTTCAGACGGGTGTAGATTGTGATGTTTATGATTCTATATAAACCTTGTTGGAAATGGCTATATGGCCCCAAAAAGGGCTCTGATGTTGTTACGATGTCAAGCTTGTAACAACAGAAGAAACTTTTTTGTGCTGTATAGAACCAATTAAAAAAAAAAGCTTCTATACAGAACAGTATCCAGCAATCTGAAGAACCATGCCATCATGCAAAGAACAATTCAAGCCGTGAAGAAACACAGAACCCCTGAAGAACCATCTTTTTAAAGTGTGTATCTTGTGCACCACACACAATTGTTTATTAGCTGTCTGTTAAGTGGTTGTGCTGCATTTGTGTTTATTCCTCTCATAACTGTAACAGGTCTCGTACGTTATGTGCGTCACATTCATATTAGCTGGAAATCTCAGTGAAATATTTTGAACCCATCTGCTGCCTGTATTTCGTTCATTTGTCAAATGTTTTGTCTTTTTTGTTACAATAAAATGGATCCAGTTCTTACTGACTTTTTCAAACTGAACTGGATATATTTGCTCTTTCGTCCCTCAGCTTTTCTTCATTCACTGTAGCTAAAACACTGAACGGCTGAAGTTCTGACCTCGACTTCCAACTTCTACGATTACCTGAGCCAACTTAAGTAATAAAGCACTGAACCCATAGACCAGAAACACTATTTATACGGTTCGGCGGTGATAAACACGACTATTAGACAGTGTTAGCCCGTTTAAAGTCCTTAAAGGAGACAGAAAATAGGCCACTAATACAGCTGGCTGCGCTAATACACCGTTAATGTGTGAGGATGAGTTAACTTACTGCAAGTTGGTTAGCTTGAACTCCAGGGAGCGTAGAAATGTCCTCAAACACCGAACAAAATCCCGAAAACCATCTGTGTTGGATTCACGACACAAACAGCATGTCCGAGTCCGATTCAGACTTACTTAGTTATTAAACTACGGCTTATTCGCCGAGTTTCTCTCCCGACGTTGCGGCTAGGCTAACCACGAACCTGTTAGCTAAAGCTAAGTTAGCCAGCAGTCCGGTTCACTTTTTGCTAACAAGACAGCGACTGTTTTATCTAAACACGGCCTCTTAAGAGGCTTAAGACTTATTTCTTAAAGATATCGGTTTGAATTCTGAGCTAGGAGGAAGCAGCTCCCCGCGAAAAGAGTGTTTTTGTTTGTTGTCTGACTACATGACCGGCTGCGGGCTGCTAGCTGACTGAGGAGAGTGCAGCATCTCCATCGTTACAGCCGCACTGAGGAGAAGCCCACAGCTCAGCCAGCGGCCAGTACGGCTCTCGGCGGAGCTGATTCATGGAATAAATATGCAAGTATGAGGCTGAATTGATGTCAAACATATTTTCCTTCTCCTTTTCCTTGTTATTTCGTTCATACTGAGCCCCCGAAGTCCCACTGTGAAAAAAAAAATTGCAACAGCACTGTGTTGTAAGATTTTTGCATTCCTTCGCAAAAATTTTGTATTCTCTGTGTTCCCTCGCAATAATTTCGTCTGCCTTCACAAAAGGTTCGCATTCTTTTGCAAAATCCATCGCATTTGCAATGGAATGCAAAATTATTGCGAGGGAACACAAAAGAATCGTTGTGTGGGAAGGCAAAATGATTGTGAGGAAATGCAAGATTATTGCAAGGGAATGTGAAATTATCGCGAGGGAATGCAAAATCACTGTGAGGGAATGCAAGATTATTGCAAAGGAACGCAATGTCATTTTTTAACCACGGCCCCTTTGGAGCTCTGTACATTTATGCTTATTGTATTTGCAGACTATTTTGTGATGCACCTTGAGCTGCATTTATTTATGTATTAGGGATGCACCGATCATCAATTTTTACGGCCGATTCCGATTTCTTTAATTTCTTTACAGCCAAATTGGCCGATAGCCAACTTTTTTTGACCAACTTTCATTAGTCTTTTTTATCTGAAACTCAGACTGTGTGTGGGTGAAATGAACACTTGAAACACACTAGAACGTTTATAGCACTTTTTATTAGCCAAACTTGTAATATAAACAACATTATTGCGCTGCATCACTGTAGCTCTTTAATGGGCCAAACTGGCATCGTAATTTTTCAATTTTCAATCAGTTGTTTGTTTAAATGACATGAATCAAATAAAGAGCTACAGAAAGTAAAAGACAACTGTATTCTTAGCACGATCATCATTCATGATTACGCCATGACATTTTGGTACCGGTGTAGCAGCAGCATTCAAATACAGATACACATCTGCCAAAGGAAAAACTTTGGCCAACTGCAGATTTTATATTCTGAGCAAATATCTGCCGACTCTGTGACTGATTTTGATTGTCCATCCATTATTACTGATTTTTTTTTTGTTCTAGTAAGATGTAATAGTACTTAAATACCTAAATATGTAAGATTAAAAGCATAGCTAATGCATCTTTGTCTCCTCAAGAGTTCTTGAGTAAAAATAGTGGTTGTATATAGAACCATGCCAACTCAAAGAACCATTTGAATGCATATATGGTTCTTTGCATGGTTACCTAGTTCCCCTCTGTGATGGAAAGCCTCCCTGTAGGTTGAGAGTGGATTTTACAGAAGGTTATAATGAATATTTACAGTAAGTGACATTGTTTTCAGTAACTTACGCTCTACTACCCCCTAGTGGAAAACAACTGAACTGACCTCCAATTGCATCTAACACTTCTTCTGAAATGAAGGGTATAAACAATGAGCAAACAATAGTAGTGCTGGAATTTATATAATATTTTAATTATATTGTAGCTGATATATATAATGAGGTTCAATGGTTCAATAAAACATCTATGAGTATAGCAGTTAAAGTGCTTCAGCATGTACTACTGCTTTTTAAACATCAACATATTTTCAACAACAATACTAAAAGCCTGCTTACCTGAAACATTTATTAATATGGACTAATAGCCCCCCTCTGCTGCAGTAACAGCCTTTACTCTTCTAGGAAGTCTTTACACTAGATATTGGAACATTGCTGTGAGGATTTGACTGCATTCAGCCACAAGAGCATTAATGAAGTCAGGTACTGATGTTGGATGTTCAGTTTTGGACACTCATCCCAAAGGTACTGGATGGAGCTTCATCATGCTACAGAACACAGAGCTCCAATGCTGCACAGCCCAGTGTGCAGCTGCTGCAGAGCATACAGTTTCTATTGGTAATGCCAACAGAATGTAGATTATAAAAGCTGTAAGGGTACAACTGAACACCTGTGTCAGCAATAGGTTCAACTTTGAGTAGCTGCATTCACTAATTAGAAGGGCTGTCTGGATACTTTTGGATAATAGCAGTTAGATTTGGTCATAGATGTGTGTAAAATTGTGAAGAAATTAAGATGATTTTGTTTGGCTTATAAGAAAATATAAAACAAATCAGACTAAAATCAGATTTTGACACTTTAATGTTTATAAATATGCACAAACTAAGTACAATCAAGATCAAATCTCCAAGCATAACAAATGGAATATTCCTTATTTATAACATAGTAAATTTACAATCTTCCCTTTATGTTCATCCCTGATTTAAAAGGGGAATTCCACTGATTTTCAAAATTTCTGCCTTATTCAGTCACTGAGATGTAAACACCGTCATTCAGAGTGGTTTGGTGTGAAACGGTTCATTGCAGAGAAATTTACAGACTCAGATTTCTTTACAGTGGTGGTGATGGGAACCAGGGGTCACAATGTCTACAACACAAATATAGACATTTTATTTACTATCTAAAACCACCAGTGAACCTACACGAGTCTTCTGAGTTTTATATGTAATGCTGATGATGGTAAAATAGTGAAAAAATGTTACTGAGAACTACTATAAAACAATGTCTCAGACATCAGGCAGAGTAACCATTTTGTGTTATAACTTCCTATGAGCTGTTAAACGCTTCAGACGTCTGGTTCCTATCACCACCACTGTGAACAATCCTGACTCTAAGTTTCTCTAGAACGGAGCATTTCACACCAAACCACTCTGAGTGACATTGTTTACATCCTAACAATTAAATTATACAGACGATTTTAAAATATTTATAAGTCCCCATCAACAAATAAACTGAAATAAATAAAAGGCTGATGACTGAAAATTAAAAATTAGTTGTGTAAGGTCCCAATCTGCTTACATCCTATTGTTGATCCTTAAGGTAAAAAATAAATCAGGTACAGTTGAAATATACATTTGTATGCAGCATATCAGTACTCAATATATGATACTAACAGCAAACATGTATTTTGTTCAATTTACTCCTGACCTTGGTTCCATGATATTTATATTCATATAAAAATGCACACATGAATCACACATACAGTAATAAACAGCCTGAGGTGTAGTGGATATAGTGTTTTTATAAATGACAATGCTAAATTTGTTACTTATATGTGTTGTACTTATATTTATTCTGTAATTTACATATAAAGTGTAATATTTTATAAATATTATCCATATAATTTTCATTGTGTCCCATTCAGTTTTACTGGCGTGGTAGCAGTCTGAAAACTCTAAAAAACTACTGCTGGACCTTCGTCATGTGGAATATTTAATGATGCCACGAAGAAACTAATGAGCTTATACACCGATCAGGCATAACATTATGACCACCTCCTTGTTTCTATGCTCATTGTCCATTTTATACAGTTACAGACTGTAGTCCATCTGTTTCTCTGCATAATGAGAAGTAAATATTGTCTTTTCACAGTCTGACATGTTTGATCATGTTAATTAATTACAAAGATATAATTAGTATATCTTTATGATTGGCATAATTAGTCCTGTTTTATGAGATAACAAGAGCTCCAACTTATCAAACTAACTAAAAAAACTAAATCTTGTGATACATATTGTGTATTATGGAGATGCCTTAAAGTATCATCAGTTATATTTATGGTATATCACCTACTGCTATAGCTTAACAACAGCACTTTACATGATGTCTTTCAGTTAGTTACTGTTTCTGTTCTAGCACCAGTTTATTACACATCTGCATCAGTGAGTGTGTTTACATGCACTCAATAATCCGATCATAATCAGCTCAGTTATCTGATTATTCAAATGGTCATGTAAACAGCTTACTCCGATTTCTTAGACGAGTAAGGTCTAGAAATCCGAATAAGAAATCTGATAAAGAGAGCTGGATTTTAGCTCAGTAATCAGATTTCTCAGTGCATGTAAACTCTTACTCTGATTTCTTTCAGATCTCTCAGTCTGTGCATGTATGAAAACAGACTGCGGTACCGGAAATAAGCGAGCAGCGTCGCTGTTAGATGGCAGCAAAACACACTTGGAGCGACGCTGAAACCGACTACATGCTTGATGAAATGAAGGATTTAAATATTCTTCATCTTCTAGATGATTTATGTTCATATTTTCAGGTAAAGTGGCGCAATGTTTTAAAAAAAGACACGGCATGAATTTCGAGTTTTACATTACGTTTACATCACATCTTCTTCTGTAAGTTTATTGGCTGATTTCAAAGCAGAAATCCGATTACTGTCTGATTCATGTAGACCTGGAGTTTTCCCCATTGTCTGATTACTCAAGTGCATGTGAACGCATTGATTTTCTGCAGTTATCAGATTATTAAGTGCATGTAAACACACTCACTGATGAATGAGGCCCAGCATCTTTAGTGTGCTGAATTTCATTTATCTTCCTAGGTTTTTTCTTTAACGTTCTTGAGAAAAAGCCTACGTCAGACTCGTGACGTTCTTAAAGCGCATAACTGTTTGCACCTTTGTGCTCTTGAGTGTGTTTAGATTCTGTTCTTACCTAACCACCAGTAAGAAAACACTGATGAATGTCAGAATCTCTGTAAAACTTCATAAGAGGGTTTTAAGAAGAAACCTCCTCTTAAGAACAGTTGGTGTATGAGGCCCATTGTTCTTGTATATAGAATGCAAAGTCTTGTATTTTAAGTTACATACGTTAGAAGGAGGTGCTGCTTGCTGAAATGTCATCTTTAAGTGCTTTTGGAGCAGAAGCTAAACTGCACTACTAGCCGGTAAAATTTGTCCAGAAAAATAAGATTTGTACAGTGTGCTAAAAGGCTGGTTGACAAACTCTTGTTCAAACAGTGACGATACTTTAAATCAGAGGTGAAAAATACAGTACTGTGCAAAAGTCTCCACCTTCATTTATTTAATTTCCAGTCAACATGGCCATCAAGCACAAGCTATTCATTCATCAGTATCAAATTTACACAGAAGTATCAACAACTAAATGTTATATAACATTTTCAGTGTTTAGTGTGTTCATCTTTTACCTTTATTAAAAATGTCTTTTTATTACAGTTACATTTATTTGATTTCAAAGAAATCTGCGGGGATATTTTTCCACACCTCCAGTTCGGTCTTAGAAGTTGGTTGTATTTTCTGCTTCTCAGAATCCGAATAATCACAAACTCATTCAGTGATGTTGAGATCTGGACTCTGGGGTGGTCAGTAAATTGTTCTGAGAACACCAGCAGGTTTTTTGTTTGATCTTCCTTTTCTCAGTGAGGTTCTTCTTGACAGCTACACATCCTTTCAGACCCATAGCGCTGAGTCGTCTTCTCACAGTGGAAGGATGGACAGAAACACCTGTGGATGTTTTCAGATCTGAAGCAGCTTGATTTTCTCCTCTCTCTCAAAGATGAAGGCTTTAAGTGCTGTTTATCTGATGGGGGCAGTTTTGGTGTCTACCAGGTCTTCCAGGTGGTTGTTAGGAGTCATATTTTCTCTTCAGTTTTGGAAACTCCTGTTTTTTTTCACTTTTCCTTTGATTATCTTATATCCAAACTCCTCAGAAATATCTCCTGAAAAATCAATAACTTGTACTTAATGACCGTTTTTGACTGGACATTAAATAAATGAAGGGTGGTCTTACTGACTCTCTCTGACAGCAGTGTGATTGTGACAGTGACTGTACTTCTTTAGTGTCCTTATTTTGGAACAGTTGTTTTTTTACTTAAGTATTTTTTAACTGAATAACTGTATTTTTGTAATTACTTACATAATGTATTTCTAATTTTTAAATAACGTAACTGTTCTGAGGTCAGGGTAGAAGGTGGTGAGTGTGTATGTTATGTTTTTAGTGCTGTTCTGAGGTCAGTGTAGAAGTTGGTGAGTGAGCTGGCCATAGCGGTGTCCACAGCAGTCTGAGGTATCAACCCCCTGAGGTCAGTCTGAATGTAGCCGGTCAGGAGACTCTGAGATTCATCCACAGGAACACAGAACCAACCACACGGGTGATTAAACCCACGAACACAGCTCTGCTTCTGCTCTTCATACTGCACACTCACACCTGCCACAAAAACACATACAAACATGTGTCATTACAGTTTGTAAGTAAGTAAGTACCAATAGGTAATAATAATCTACTACATATATATTACATATATGTAAGTTTCTGTAAGTAATAATAATAAAATTACACTTAATTATTATTTATATTGTCACTGTAAGAATACTTTGTTGGTAACTTTACAGGTAAAGAAAAAAACATTAATTTAAAATGGAAGTTACTGCAACAAGGTTTTTTTACCAAGTAATTTTGGTCCATTTCAATCGGTCCATTCATCATCAAAATTTTAACACACTGCAAACGGTAACTGGGGTTTTCAAATTACACAAAAAAGTTTTAAAAAATGGAGATGGAGGTTTCTGTGTGACAGTGATGATATGTAAGTTCTTATATGTAATAATATGGCTCATATGTGTAATACGTAAGTACCTATATGTGATACTAATAAGTCTCAAATATATTAAGTATCTAAGTCACATTTTAAGTGCAGTGTGTGCATTTCTTGCTCTGAGCATTAGAAGAAGCTCCCAAAAGTCTCTCACCACAGGACAGAAGGCCGTTCTGGTACTCCGTGGTGTAGGAAAAATCCACAAACTCGCGGGGGGAGATGATGTTCCACAGCTGTCCTGCAGTCGTGTACTGCATCACACAACACGCCTGCAACACACACACATCAGCAGCTCATCAGTGATTTTCAATCAAACTTATGTGCAGCAACATTTAAGCTCTTTCACAAGACAGTACAAAAATGCATCACTATCATTTCGCTGCTGTCAGAACAAAACCATCGTATCTCCAAAATGGTAACTTTACAGGAGAAGGAAAAAACATACTTTACTTTTAATGTAAGTCAGTGGAACCAGACTTTTTTCCAAGTCATTTTAGGCCGTTTCTTTTGGTCCATTCATGAAATTTTCAAACAATATAAAGAGCCACAGGCAATTTCAGATTATGTCAAAAACTGAAAAACGACAAAAATGAAGATATAAGGTGTTGTTCTGACAGCAGTGATATTTATATAATTTAATATTGAAAAATAGCAATATAATTAATTTAAAAGAATTTCATACAAGAGAAAATTGTTTATTATTTAATTATATATTATATATAAACATTTTGTTACTATATAAACATTATTAACCATCATACATTTCATTAAAATACCTGAAATAAGGGCTCTACTATCGCATATAAAAATTACAGTTTCATATCAAACTTTTTTTTTTAAATAAACTATTTTAACAGAAATTATTTGGTGATTTTACCTTGTCCAGTGTTTCTACAATGTCCATTGAAGTCATCAGACTGTCCCACTCCAACCTGTAGGGTCCCGGCCGAATATAATCTACGATCCGCTGCGGATTCTCCATAACGAGCCCCTGAGCTTTATACCTGCAGAACATCACCAGAGAACAGACCCAGATACCTCATCAAATCTGATCAAATTAAAATCTATAAAAACACTATTAAACCAATAATTTCTAATGTTCCAAAGTTAAAACTTAGGATTGAAGTGCGCTGCTTAATTTCCAATCATGTAATGATCATTTTTGAGTTATTTCTGAGTTGAATCAGATTCGTCAGTAATATAACTGATCAGAAACAGTAAGTCGGTGTAGTTTTAGTATTATTATTATTATACATCCATAAATAAAATATATCCACAAGTAGTACATCCACAGATGAATAGTTTCACACACTCTCCCAGCAGACGCCACCTGAAGCTCAGAGAATCAGAGGAAGAGAAAGAGAAACTCACAGGAAGCCATTAAACTCCACTGACGGTTTCCTCCACACTGTGACGTCTTTCTGAAAGAGAAAACATTTATATGATTGTTAAAAAGCTCAAAAGCTGGGAATCACTCATCAAATTAATATTTTTTGTTATTGGATATAAAAATACTTTAAATATTATAAACAAAACACTAACATTGGATACTTTAAGTAGTTTGGGAATTACCACAAATTAATAAATGAGAAATAATACACTGTAATTATCTATTTATAATAATTTTATGTCAAGTTATCCTGAGATTTATGCCCACTTCATTCATTATGCTCTATTAAGAATTACTTCAAACCTCTGAAAATGCAGAGTACCAGAATCAAAATAGTAACACTAGAACAGTTTCAACACTGCTTTACCATACTTATTGAACTCCTCAGTTAATGAAGCTCTTCAAAAGTTGAAAAATTACTTTGAGCTGAACTATATACACTATATTTTTTGGACTGGTAGATGAAATACAATAATAACTTCGATTTAAATATCATACAGGGTGTCCCAAAAAATTGACATGTCTAATAACATTTCTCCCTCAAATGATCTTGAATTTTAACAAAATGTGTAAAAATTAAGTTTAATTTTTTATGTTTTTTTTCAGGTTGAAAAATGGCGTTCACTAGAAATGAAAAGGCATTTTGTGTGTTAGAATATGTTCCAACACAGTCAAACAAGAGTGTGCAGCGAGCATTTTCGAGAAAATTCAATAAAAATGCACCAGCTGGAAAGCAGATTTGGACATGGTACAAAAAAATCAAAGAGGAAGGCTGTCTGTGCAGGGCAAGGGGATCTGGGCGACCACCAGTCTCAGAGGATATTACATTTGTGAAGCTGTGAAATCAGTTATAAAATCTACATCCCTCTGAGTTTCTTGTTCGAATTTTGAAAAATAAATCTTGTTTTGTTCAACATGAAGCCTATTTAATTTTGTTTGCCAGGACATGTAGTTACTCAGATTATTTTTGGGACACCCAGTATATTATTATATATTACAAACTATTCATCACAGGATATTCTCATACATTTTATTCAATATTTCTAGAGTTTTGTGATCAACAAATTAAAAGATGACTTGATTCCCAGTGCTACACAGCTTTCCCAGTCGTTTCTGAATCTTCTACAGCTCTGTCCATCATTCTGGACACAGCTAATATTGCATTTTTATTTACAGCTTTCTACTGTCCTCCTATTTATTTGAAAGCGATTTGCACTGGACTAGCATATTAAAATCACTTTATACGCTTGTCCGCAACAAAACAGGTTTTATATTATTGAAACACTGATTTGAAACATTTGAAGGGCCCATATCAGGGAATGCTGAACGTTCAGTGTGTTTGATGAGCTTGATGTAGTATATAAACACTGCTACAGTTCATACGGTCCATGTATGGAAACGAAGCATCAAAAACAGCCAGTTTTGAATTCACTGTTTTTGTGATGTCACAAAAACCAGCACATTTACATATATCCACCTATTAACCTGTTTAACCCTGCGTATTCAGATGTTTCAGCCCGGACTGTTTTCTAAATGAGGCGCAATCCAGGACAGCCAATCAGAAGAGAGAACATATACATACATATAATAACAAAATCAGCCTGTATAATTCTGAGGGATAAAGAAAGGATGGAAAATGGATGTGTAAAAATGATGAATGATGACTGACTTTGGTACATAAACTCACACAAGTGTTATAAGTGGACCTCAAAGAGAAAAACAAAGTAATTAAAAATAAATAAATAAATACATAAATATATATGTAAACTATACTCTCAAACTAACTTTTAAGGGCTCTTTAGAAAAAGGAATGGGCTATTTAGAACCATGAGTTCTATATAGAACCACTGCATGCTTAAATGGTTCTTTGCATGGTGGAATAGTTGTTCAGCTTGATGGAGAATGTGAGGTATATGGTTCTATATAGAACTTTTTCGGAAAGGTTCTTCTATTGTTACAAGTTTGGCATTGTCATGATATAAGAACCCTTTTCAAAAAGGTTCTACATATATCTCACATATACCTCACATTCTCCATCAAGCTGAACAACTATTCCACCATGCAAAGAACCATTTAAGCATGCAGTGGTTCTATATAGAACTCATGGTCCTAAATAGAACCATTGCCTTTGCTGCGCCTTGAAGAACCATCTTTTTAAAGAGTGTACCTGTAATTAAATGATTTTATTCGGATTTGTAGTTAAAATGGTTCTATGTAGCACCAAAAAGGGTTCTGCTATTGTGATGACGTCAAGCTTGTAACAATAGCAGAACCCTTTTTGGAGCTTCATAGGATCATATAGAACACGTTCTCCATCAATCTGAAGAATACGGAGCCCCGCTGGTGACATCCTGTGGCCACGACTTAGTAAAGCGTGGGAATGAGATGATTAAGTGGTGGCCACGACTTAGTAAAGCGTGGGAACGAGATCCTAATGCGTGGCCACGACTCAGGAAGGTGAGGGAATGAGATGATTAAGTCGTGGCCATGACTTAGTAAGGCGTGGGAACGAGATCCTAATGCGTGGCCACGACTTAGTAAGCCGTGATCTCGTTCCCACGCCTTACTAAGTCATGGCCACAACTTAATCGTCTCATTCCCACGCCTTACTAAGTCGTGGCCGCGCATTAGGATCTCGTTCCCACGCTTTACTAAGTTGTGGCCACGCATTATTTTTATTCATACAGGATGTCACCAGCGGGGCTCCGTAGAAGAACACTTTCACCATGCAAAGAACCGTTTAAGCACATTCTATATAGAACTCGTTGTTTAAATAAACAGAAAGGGAACTTTTGAAAAACCACTTTTTTAAGTGTGAAAGGATGAAAACAAAACACAGACCGATTTCTTTGCCACCCTCCACTCCTCCTCTCCCAGACTGTGGTAGGACAGTAGAGTGTTCTCCAGTCTGGTTCTCAGCTCGGTTACGTCTGGCAAACTTCCCATGTTGTTCATCAGAGAAAGACACGCTAAAGAAAAGCAGGTGCAGTAAGAGTGAGTGAATCAGGCACCGTTTAAGGTGGAACGGGACAATTCGAACAAGATACTGAAGTAGAGGAAGCCGACTCGAGCCTCGGTTCAGTCTGAGTGAATGAAAGAGTCACTGGAAATATGCAAAAAGTGTAAAATGACGCTCTCCGGACGGACTGTGGGTGTATTTCATTGAGAAAAATAGAGCCAGAAGCTAAATAAACCAAATTCTGCCCAACTGAGCTGCTGACCTTTAACCGCCCCTCATAAATTTACGCAATACGGACTATAAAACTGGACCACAGGGCATCAATCCAGCTGATAAAGTCAAAGTTTTACATTAACCTGTGATAAAGCTGTTTACGTACCTTGTAATACCGTGACTGGAGGTTTATTTTGATAAAATCATCCTTTATTCTTCCAAATTTTCACCTATTTCTCTGTCTCACCTTTCCAGCTTCACTCAATAAACACGAACCGGTAACCGTTGCATTTTTGGCAAACATGTTGATAGCCAATGAGAATGGAAACCCCGCCTCCTGTAAACATTTCCTGATGGCTGATTGGTCCGTTGCCATGCGTGTCGTAGAACAGAGGGAGCTGATTGGTCAGCGCGACTCGGATGTTCTTCGGTCACCGATGAGGCGAAAACCGCTGTGCATCGCCAGGACGAGGTTAAAAAATCATATCGGAGGAAAAAACACACAATTTGTATGGAGGACCAGATTTAAAAATAAATGACTTCAGTAAATGACGTAAATTAATATATGAAGTAGAATTGCAAAGAATAATGATGATAAATCTAAAAACAAATAAACATGCATAACAATTAATATATTAATAATTTAAATCTTATATAAATTAATAAGTCTGCATTTATTTATATGTCTGTTTAGTAATTTACCCTTCTCACTAATTTTTGTATTTTTTATTTTTTTATTTTTTTATATGTTTCTTTATTAACATTTTTTCTGTTTTTCTATTATTTTATTAATTTATTTCCATAACTATTAATTTGGAGGAGGTGTTTCATCGTCTTTTCCTGCAAAATTCAGATCACTCAGACATTCGGACGCCCTTCTCACACACTGCCTGTGGAAGCCATCAGAGTTATTTATCGGCAGGTTTGTCTGTCTGTGCAGTTCTTTATGGAGTGAAAGAACAGTTTAATCAGCTCTTCTCCTCCTGGGCTTGATTGCTAAGCCTGAACGTGAAAGACACGCCCCCTCATTATCATACGAACGAAGAAATACAGAAATAAATAAATGAATTAATGAAAAAAAAATAAATAAATGAATACATGAATCAAAGAATAAAGCGAACTATTGTTACAAATATAGATATGGGAAAAATATAAAAATGGCATTAATAAAACAAAAACAATACAGAAATAAATAAACTGAGAAATATATAACTGCAGAAAAAGGAAATATGTGCATAATTACAATCACAATAAGCAATATATACTTTATTTCGTTTTTTTTTTATCTATTGATTAATTTACTGAGCCATATATTTTTTGGCAAATCTGGTCCTCCATAAATTTAAGCGCTTTTCAACAAATAAAACGTGACAAAACTACAAATCCGAATAAAAATAATTTATTTCAGGTACACTCTTAAAAAGGCGGTTCTTTAATGGTTAGTAAAGGCAATGGTTCCATGAGTTCAATATAGAACCACTTCATGCTTATATGGTTCTTTACATGGTGAAGTAGTTCAGACTTCACTGATGGAGAATGTGATGTATATGGTTCAGCATAGAACTTTTTTGGAAAGGGTTCTTCTATTGTTACAAGCTTGACATTATTAACGACAGAAGAACCCTTATCAAAAAGGTTCTACACAGAACCATATGCAACACATTCTCCATCAATCTGAAGAACCATTTCACCATGCAAAGAGCCCTTCAAGAATGCACGGTTCTTTGACTGTTCATGATGCTACATAGAACCATTTACTAAAGAACCCTTAAAGGACCATCTTTGAATGCAAAGTATACTCATGTTTCTAGTTAGAACCATTAAATAGAACCATTTACTAAAGAACACGTGAAGAACCATCTTTTTTGAGTTTGTACATTTAATGCAAAAAAGGTAAACGCTAAAACAGCTCAGCTTAAAGGGAAATTGCATCAAATTTTTAAATTTTCTGCATAATTCAATCGTTCAGATGTAAACAAAATCAAGAAACGCGCCATTCCAGAGAAACTTAGTCACAGCGGTGATGACAGGATCCAGACATCTGAAGTGTTTACTGCCTCTAAAAGCTCCCTTACAGAAAACTACTGCATGAAATGGTTATGAATTTGCTGCCTGGTACCTGAGACATTGTTTCGCAATAGTTTTGCGAAGGTTTTGGGCTAAAATATTTTTTAAAAATCCATTGATGTCTGAGAGGTACATGCAAAGTGTTGTGAGGCAAAATAGTTACCAAAAAACCTTAATTTTTCAGACTGAGTACTATTTTACATCAACCACTCTGAATGACTTTGTTTACTTATTAATGATTAAACTGTGCAGAAATTCTTAAAATTTGGTGGAATCCCCCTTTAAGAAAATAATAGTGAGAATTGTGAAACAGTCCATTTTTACTGGTGTCAAAGTAGCTTATGAACAAATATTAAACAGCAAACCGTTTTACTGTCAGACTCAAATGATACAAATGCCTTAAAAAACCTTTAAGCCTCATATATTACAGTGGAAAAACCACAAAACTAACACACAATCTGAGTTTTCCTTCTCGTCATCCTAAAGATCCCACAGTGAAACCAGAGGGGAAACTGCAAATGTGCATGTTCTATTTTTAAAACAACGGCCTATTAACCCCATTATCTAATCAGCACCTAATAAATTCAGAAAAAGGCAAAGAAGCCTTAATCTTACAGCATGAGGTTTAGACAATGTGCTTTCCAACCTTCCAGGTGACGTTCATGCAGAAGTTTCTTGTTGAGCTGTGGTTGCTGTTCTCACACTTCTGATTAACAGCAATTAGCTCTTACTTTTCCATCCCTGATGGCTTTTGTTTTCGGAAAACGGAAACAAACGGAAAAAAACGGAAAAAAAACATTAATGACAGGTGGACAAATGAAACATCATGTAGCTAAAAAGATGCAAGTCCAGCAATAGATAAGTCCCTAAACTCCAATAAAAAGTTATTAAAATTAAAAAAATCTGTGGAACATTTCTATTAAAGAGGATCTTCTCGTTTGTCTCAGATGTTCTGGTTGGTGATGAGTTTCTGCATCCTCTTGATTTTGCGCTTGTTTTTGGGCATGGGCTTATCGTACAGGCCGTTCTTCAGCAGGTGTTCTTTGCTGTGGTGCACCTGAGCGCCATGCTGCAGCTGGAAAGAACACAGTGCTCGCAGAGGCTTCAGCAGAACCTGTGAAATGATGTGAAAATGACAGAGGAACTCAAGATAGAGTCTCTTTGCACTTGCGGCCCATATTCAGATACCGTCCAGGTGAGATTTATTCACCTTCCATTTACACCTAGCCTAGACAGATAGAAGCTAGACAGATGGAAATCTGATTGATCAGTTTTACAGTTATGCGTTTATATGGACAGGTTTAATGGCACAGTTTTTATGACAGTGTAAAATCAAAAAGCAGCTGCTGTATGCATCTGTGATCAATTTCACTAAAGAAAGAACTCTGTATACAGCGTTAATATAATTCTGTTTAGAAGAAGTAAAGATTGCATATATGCAGCAGTAGGAAGCCAAGGTAAAGGCATTTCTCGCTTCAGTCTGCATTACGTTCCCAAAGCAAAACGAGTTATTCGTTAGCGAAAATTACTCACAGAAAAGCTGGAAACTGAAGCCAGTTTCTCCTCACACACACATACACACACACACACACACACACACACACAGATAGGCATAACATTCTGACCACCTCCTTGTTTCTACGCTCATTGTCCATTTTAACAGCTCCACTTACTACATAGGTGCACTTTGTAGTTCTACAGTTACAGACTGTAGTCCATCTGTTTCTCTGCATACTTTGTTAGCCCCCTTTTACCCTGTTCTTCAGTGGTCAGGACCCCCATGGACCCTCACAGAGCAGGTACTATTTGGGTGGTGGATCATTCTCAGCACTGCAGTAACACTGACGTGGTGGTGGTATGTTAGTGTGTGTTGCGCTGGTCTGAGTGGATCAGACACAGCAGTGCTGACCACTGAAGAACAGGGTAAAAGGGGGCTAACAAAGTACACAGTGAAACAGATGGACTACAGTCTGTAACTGTAGAACTACAAAGTGCACCTATATAGTAAGTGGAGCTGATAAAACGGACAATGAGTGTAGAAACAAGCAGGTGGTCATAATGTTATGTCTGATCAGTGTATATGCTAGCTGCCCTTCACAATGAATGGACCAAAAGAAATGCTCCAAAGTTACATGAAAAAAATCTAGTTCCATTAACTTCTATACAAAGTTAAGAATGTTTTTTTCCTCTCTTGTAATGTTACCATTTTTGCTCCACCAGCAGCAACATATATTTCCAGAAGGATTTTCTTGGAAGCAGCACTGATGCAAACTGGATTTCCGTCTGTCTAACACAGATTCATCATTCATTCACATGGCCAGGGGTAAACAGAATACTGATAAGTCTTTTCTGTACATTATCTGAACATGAGATGAATGAAACAATGAATGTGATTGACCATCTTTACCCACCTCCTGTATGGCTTGGTTTCTCTCCATAATGGACAAAGTAACAGCAGCACATTCTAGAGTGGACAGGCACATGTTGGTGGGTTGAGTACGTATCACATACTGACTGGAAGGGGCGCTATTTAACTGCACCTGGAAGACAACAGAACAGATTACACTGCTAAACTGCATGTCTAGAGGTTGGCTCAGAAAAAGGTTCAGCTCTGGGGACTGGCCTACCTGTTTGGGTAAACGGAAGAGAGCGTTTCTGAGGAACATGTCCTTGGCTTGGCTCCACGTGCCATCTATAATGATGACGTTGTGCGGAGAGGTAGTGAAGTCTCTGTCCAACTCCTCCAGGTTTTCAGCATCAGATCCAGGATAGAGAATGAGTGTGTGTTTGTCTCTGCACACTGCAGCCAGCTCAGGGTGCCTGAGGGAAAGATTACGTGTCAGTAGGTCTGGGCATTTTTGATAATGATATAAATATCAATACTCTGACTTGATGATATGATAGATGATATGTTTTCCCAAAACCATGTACTGACCGGGACATACTGGACACTAATCAAGAGGGACTGATGGTAATAACATGCATACAGAATGTAATTTAGACAACCAATCACCAGTTTAGATTTTGGAACAAGCTGCTTTCTGGCTCACTGATGCTGATTAGACTGACTTCTTAGGTACAGAAATTTGGTAATGAAAAATGCCAAATAATATGGAATTTTTCAATACAGGACAGGAGTTTTTCAAACTATCCCACCCCTACTTGTGAGCTCAACTTACATTTCAAGATGAATATGAAGTTGTGACGGGACAGAGTAGTAACCAAATTCACCAGTGAGAATGCATACCTTTCTTCATTAAATCTTCTTCCAACTAGAACGTTACATTTTCCTCTGGGTAAGCAGGCTGCCAGAAGAGGAACGGTTCGGAGCACCCGACTCTCCTGATGGGAGAGAGAAGAGGATACAGTATACAGGGAAAACAGGAAGCAAATACAAAAAGCAGGATAACAAAAGTAATTTAAACCTGATATTTTAATCTTTTACCACAGCTTACAGAATCACAGATAGATAGATAGATAGATAGATAGATAGATAGATAGATAGATAGATAGATAGATAGGTAGGCAGGCAGGCAGGCAGACCGACAGACAGACAGGTAGACAGATAGACAGACAGGTAGATAGACAGATAGATAGATAGATAGATAGATAGATAGATAGACAGGCAAACAGACAGACAGACAGGTAGATAGACAGGCAGACAGACAGACAGACAGACAGACAGACAGACAGATAGATAGATAGATAGGCAGGCAGGCAGGCAGACCGACAGACAGACAGGTACACAGATAGACAGACAGGTAGATAGACAGATAGATAGATAGATAGATAGATAGATAGATAGATAGACAGGCAAACAGACAGACAGACAGGTAGATAGACAGGCAGACAGATAGATAGATAGATAGATAGATAGATAGATAGATAGATAGATAGACAGACAGACAGGCAAACAGACAGACAGACAGGTAGATAGACAGGCAGACAGATAGACAGACAAACAGACAGACATATAGAGATAGATAGATAGATAGATAGATAGATAGACAGGCAAACAGACAGACAGACAGGTAGATAAACAGGCAGACAGATAGATAGACAGGCATACAGATAGATAGACAGGCAGACAGACAGATAGATAGATACATAGATAGATAGATAGATAGATAGATAGATAAACAGACAAAAAGATAGATAGATAGATAGATAGATAGATACATACATAGATAGATAGACAGACAAAAAGATATATAGATAGATAGATAGATAGGCAGACAGACAGACAGGCAGACAGACAGGCAGACAGACAGACAGGCAGACAGACAGGCAGACAGACAGGCAGACAGACAGGCAGGCAGACAGGCAGACAGATACACAGACAGACAGACATTTATTGACCCTGAAGGGAAATTACAGTGTTTCAGTAGCAACACATATAATTGCAGATAAACTTACATAAACTATGCAGAAAAAAAATAGAAATAAAATAGACATAAGTTAAAGTATAAGAGAGTGGAAATAAAAGTATCTCTATTTGCATATTTACACGGCATATAAGACAGATTTGTTGTATTTACATGACAGCAGGCACTAAGTGGTATGATGTAATCTAAAAGCACACTGAGTATAGACACAACGAGGAGTTGCAGCAATATTACAGCGTAAAGTGCGCAGTGTAAAGTAATGAATAAAAAATACAGAAATGAAAAATAAAATTATACTGGCATGTGTGAAAACAAATAGTCAATTGTGCAAACCAGCACCTTTGCAGCTGATGGATAAAAATTTTACATAATAAAAGTAACAAAAATATATTTTATATACCGTTATTTGGGGTCAGATCAATTTTTTTCCTCCAAAACATTGTAATTACTATTCCACTGTTCCAAAAAACCAGAATATTCATATTTGTTACTTAATTTAGACTGTACGATTAGTCATTAGTGCATTCACTGTTCTTTGCTTTCTGACCTCTGCAGGGTGCTGGACGATGTACAGGCAGGTAGACACCTCCAGTGGGTCGACAGGCAGAAACGGACACAAGCAAACCTTCTCTGGACGGCTATGAGTGAAAAAACATCCCATGTTAGTAAAAAGAACTGGTACAATTCAGTACAGGAACCACCTGCAGGCTGTATTAGTCAGAATCAAGTAGTGGTGGTGTAGTGTGTTGTGCTGGTACGAGGGGATCAGACACAGCAGTGCTGCTGGAGTTATCACTCTGTGTCTTAATGCTTCATTATAAGCACTGGGCTAATTCTGCCTTAGTTAGACCTTAGTTACCAGTATTAGGATGAAAAATTCTAAAATGAACATGACAATGACAACTTCATAAGCAATCAATAAAAAAAAAGATGCTTTGTAAGAAGGGGAGCCAACTTGCATCGACTTTTTGCTTCTAACAGTAAAAATAACACAATATTAAACAGAACAGTGCGTTCAACGTGGTTTTTACAACTGAATTATAGTCATTATTGCAAAGATATATGAAGTCTTACTTATGTTATTCCTGTAGAAAACTAAAATAATGAATTAAAATAAAACAAAAATATTAAAAACTGAATAAACTTCATATGTGTGGTATGGTTTAACTTTGATTCCAAAAGACTAAAAGTCTTTTGGAAGACAAATCAGGACTTTACACACAAACTTAACCACAAGCTTCATGCCCAGAGGTCTGTAGACACCTGCTCCAGTGTTTCTTCTGAAATAAGCAGTGTTAATAGGGAGTTTCATATTTCTAAAGATGCAAACAAAGTCATTCAGACTGGTTAGATGTGAAATGCTCAGTTCTGGAGAAACTTAGTAAAGTAGAATTGTTCACAGTGGTGGTGATAGGAACCAGACATCTGGAGAGTTTTGTGCCTCTAAAAGCTCCCTCACAGAAGGTTATTACATGTATTAAGATTTACAGTTTTGAGAAGGTTTTGACATAAACCATGTTTGATCAAAATATGCATTTATATAGCTTATGCAAAATATGCGTATTAAGCGCCGTTTAATCATCGTGATCATTCATTACACATGAAAACCCAGAAGACTCGTGTAGGTTCACTTGAAAGGTAAATAAAACGGCTGTACCTGCTTTGTAGACTCTGTGCCCCCTGGTTCCCATCACCACCACTGTAAATAAATCTGAATCAAGTGAGTTTCTCTATAATCAAACCACTCTGAATGACACTGTTTATATCTCAACAACTGAATTACAAAAATTTGGTTACTCGGTGGCATTTCCCTTCACTTGATCGTGTCTCTCTGATCTGACCCACCAGCAGCGAGAGCAGGTCGGTCTCCGCTCGCTCTCCTCCACCGGCAGCTCGGACAGGTCCAAAAACACCCCGCCAGCATCCTCATCATCCTGTGGGGGTAAACCTGGGGCAGTTAGACTGGCAGGAGGCCCGGTATTACCCCCACCGGGGGCAGAAACACGCTCACACATGCCCCACCGGGGCAAACACCTCCACCACGCCAACCAGGGAAGTGTGAACACAAAATACAGCGACACTGACAAAGCGGATTTCAAAATAAAAGCCACCGACCGCTAAGTAGTAGTAGTAGTGTAGTAGTAGTAATATTATTATTATTATTATTATTATTATTATTATTATTATTATTATTATAATAATAATAATAATCAAATAATCACCACGTCTTTCTGATTAATTACACGTTACAGTACATTATTTATTTACTTATGAAATCACTATAAACAACACACATGAAACTTAAGTTTCTTTGTATGTTATATTCACCTAAAATACACCAGAAATGTTCTTTCAACAGTACGTTTATCTCCCACAACTCCCATAGCAGTAATTAATGATTATTTAATAGTTAATTTCTTATTTTATTTCATTTTGTATCTTTTTATTTTCTGTATTTATCTTCATTTTATTGCATTTTATTTTGTTTTATTTCATTTTTGTTATTTATTCATTTATTTGTTTATTTGTTTTTCACGATCACGTATTTTATTGAACACTTTTTTATCTGCTTTTATTTTGAAAAAGAAACTTGAAAACGTTGAAATGGAATGGCAACGTTGGTGAAGCAGCGCAGGGTTTCTGTCACGACGAATGGATAAAAACAGGTCTAAATCCGCCGTAAAGTGATTTAAAGTAAGTTATATTGTATCTGCACGTGGGAGGGAGGGTTAACTTTAGTGTCCTACAGGCGGTTCTGTCCGTTTGGAGCTGAGTTACGTCGCTTTTTGTACGCTTTTTTGAGCTTCTTGTACGGATTTCGCCGTTCCACCTTAAATGGTGCAGCACTTGCTGTCTGGCGTCAGGCGTCAGAATGTAAATGCTGCACCATTTAATGTGGAACGGCGAAATTCGTACAAGAAACGGGCGAATAGGAAGCCAACTTCAGCCTCGTGCTGTGGTTTGCGTGGCTGATGTAGCTCAAGCTGAAAACACGGTTTTTAGCTGGTCATTCTGGGCTTTCAGTTTGTCTCAGTTATCAGTTCTGCCCTCGTCTGTCCAGAAATCAATAGAATTACTCTTACACAGCAGATTTCATTGACTCTGCAGGACCTGAGAAACACAGACCTGTCTAACTTAGAGACAGCTGGGCTCAAACTCCTCCTAAATATAGATTTTTCTTTCAGCAACCCTGACAAACATTATTCATGTAGGCTTTGTATGGTGTTTTACAGAAAATAGCTAGTAAAACAGGTTTTAACGTTTAGGTATAGTAAACTATTCTTATCCATGCATACAATATGTAATCTAACAGTACAGAATCAAATATAACAATTACAGACCGTAGTCATCTTTTACCCTGTTCTTCAATGGTCAAGACCCCCCACAGGACCCCACAGCAGCACTGCTGTGTCTGATCCACTTGTACTAGCACGACACACACTAACACACCACCATCAGTGTCACTGCAGTGCTGAGAATGATCCACCACCTAGACAATACTTGCTCTGTGGTGGTCCTATGAGGGTCCTGACCATTGAAGAAAAGGGTGAAAGGGGGTTAGCGAAGTATGCAGAGAAACAGATGGACTACAGTCTGTAATTGTAGAACTACAAAGTGCACCTATATAGTAAGTGGAGCTGATAAAATGGACAATGAGTGTAGAAACAAGGAGGTGGTTTTGATGTTATGGCTGACAGGTGTATATTAATTAGCAATAATATTGACGTTTATTTATAGTTCACAATTAAAATAAAGGTCAAAATGAAGAAGACCTGTAAACTATGTTTATCCAGATAATCTACCCGTAATTCTTAATGTAAGGCTAAAGATGGAAGTGAATTGTTGGCTTTATTTCAGGTGTTGATTTGTAATATTTGATTTTAAGTGATTTTAGCATAGAGTAGCCTGTAAAATGTGTCTGGATCAGTGCTTGTCTATGCCTACTGTCTTCCATGCAGTCTGTAGAGTTAAGAAAGTATGAATTCTGCATTACAGTTATGATTAAAGTCATGGCAGGTCTGAAATTAAATCCCTTCAAATCATGTGTGCGAGTGATTTACCATTTCTCTGACTTTGTGTTTATGTTCCAGCAGGGAACCATGATACGCAGGTCCAGGATCAGCGTCCGGCCGAATGTAAAGCCTACAGGCAGGGTGCCGGCGACCTCTCGAGATGCGTCCCAGGATAATTCCCAACCAGCCCAAGCCCCTGCTGACCTCGCCCACGATGCAGGGGTCAAGACCGGGGAGTGATGAGGTCAGGCCTGCTCCCTCCGCTCCAGCAGCGGAGCCGAATAATAATGCAGAAGTCCAGAGCGACAGTATAATGACTCAGCCAGAGCTCAGCAGTCCTGCAGGGTGAGATATTTACTCTCTGCATTCACTGAGTGATCCTTAGGGCCCTGACTAACCAGTGTTAATGCCTGTGGGTGACCATCACCTTTTGTTTTTGTGCTGTGTCCTGCACTGTTGGCTGATTGATCAGGATGATTCGGCACGGGCAGTAAGCAATTCAAACGATAGTCAGCAAATTAAGCAAATGTCAGGGGTTCATGAGAGCTTAGGCTGATAACACAGTACAGAAAACACAGCATAGATCATTTTTTCCTTTAGTTATGAACATGCACGAATCATGCTTTTCATTTCACTGTTTTAATGTACAGCGTTTAAGTAGCCTTTTGATCGGAACACCACCGCAGTAACGCTCATTTCTAATGGCACCTTTTCTGTGTTATGTTAGCACCAGGCTAACGGTGGTGCACTTTCGCTTTCCTACACTGAGTTTAGCTTAAAGATTAACTTTATATTTCTCCAAAAAACATAATTGAATCATTTAGCAAGTTTTACATCTTAAAGCCCAAAAGGTCTAATTTTTCATGATGGAAAAAACACACATCATAGAAGAAAACCAAGACATTAAAGGGGAATTCCACCCATTCTTCAAACACTCTGCATAATACAGTCATTAAGATGTAAACACAGTCATTCAGTGGTTTGATGAAATGATTTATAGTAGAACGTGTATTTCTTCACAGTGGTGGTGATAGGAACCAGGGTCACAGTGACTACAACACAAATACAACACGTTTTATTTGCTATCTAAAACAGCCAGTGAACTTACTTGTGTCTTCTGAGATTTTGTGTGTGATGATAAAATAGTGATAGGTCTGGAAAAGTTTTATTTGAGGACTGTTTCGTTTTACCACACCCTCCATGTATCTCTGTGTTTTACGCTACAACCTTATCTTAAAACTATGGATCAGCAACGTCTCAGACATTATGTGACACACCTTTAAACCATTTAATGTAATAGCTTTCTGTGAGGGAGCTTTTAGAGGCATTAAACTCCTCAGATATCTGGTTCCTATCACCACCAGTGGCTGTGTTTACATGCAAAGATTTTTGTTGATTCGATTGAATACATTCCGATTATAGATTAAGACTGAGGTGTTTATATTACACTCTCTTCAACAATCTGATGAAAAAACTCTGTTTACATGCTCACTACAAGTAATCCGAGCCAAAATTACCATTTAAGGGCAGTCGTAGGCTGGAGGTTAGGGAACCAGCCTTGTGACCGGAAGGTCGCTGGTTCGATCCCCTCAGCTGACAGTATGTGACTGAAGTGCCCTCGAGCAAGACACCTAACCCTCAACTGCTGTGGATAGGGCTGCCCACCACTCTGGGCAAGTGTGCTCACTGCCCTCTAGTGTGTGTGTGTTCACTAGTGTGTATGTGGTGTTTCACTGCACAGATGGGTTAAATGCGGAGGTCTAATTCCGATGTGTTCAGACACAGTTGGCTAAAAGGTTCATTTCATTCATTTAATTTCATTCATAGTGTAAACGTTACCATGACGACGAGCATCATATGGGTCCAGAGTGAGAATAGTTTTCAGCTGTTGCGCTTGTGTTTTTAACTGCTTTATAATTATGGCAGAAAAATGTACTTCACATGTATTAGGGAAGCGGCGAGAGGAGGGTGTCGTGTTCTGACGTACATAAGCTGGACGTCCGTCGCACCGCCGTCTTTTAAAGATCAGAGCGTAAACTTCGTCTCCTCTGCAGACCAGTTTCTGCTCCGCCATGTTGAACGTTATAAACTTTCACTATGACGCAACGCACATGCAGAACATACTTCAACTTTGCGATTGGGAATGTAATCAAATACAGGCGATTACACGGCTATTATTCTTCTATTTAATGGATTATTTACAGGATTACCCACCTCGTTCAATCAGATAGAAATTGTATTCCGAATGGCCTCAATCAGACTAGACTATTCCAATTGAGGTGTATACATGGACGTATTCTGTTCTGACTGAGCTCTTAGATTATTAACTGATTATTAGGCTGCATGTAAACATGGCTACTGTGAACAATTCTGACTCAGTAAGTTTGCATAGAACGAAGCATTTCACATTAAACTCTGAAAGACATTGCTTCCATCTTAATGATTTAGTTATGTATTTTAGAAATTGATAGAATTCCCCTTTAATGCTGTATTTTAGATTGAGTCTCACAGACTGTGTCGCTGTGTCGAAATTTTTAATCACAGCCTGCTCAATGTTGTGCATTGGATACTTTATTAATCAGGCTGACCAATCAGAGCGCCGTTGTCATGGTTGCAGGTCAAGTAAATGTGCATCACACTTGTGGCAGAGCAAAAAAGCCTATATGACAAGCAGCAGGTTGATTACACACAGGTCAGTCTCAGTCTCAGTCCAGGAAAGTAACTGTATGTGGTTCATTTGTAGAGATGCTGTGTCCCAAAGCACCACCTCCAGCTCTGCATCCACGAGTGGCCCTCAGAGGAGAAAGCGCTTTACTGTTTTGCCGAACCTCGCCAAACCCCGGACTTCCTCCGCTCCTGCTCCCACCCGCACCTCCTCCAGGACCCCCAAATCTCCTGTTAAAGCTGCAGTATCCGCCCCAGAACCTCCTGAGACTACGGCTTTAGCCCCTGCTCCACAGGTAATGATAAAATAGAATAAAACTATAAAAATATTATTATTGGTAGTCGACGTTTTATATAGCTAAACTGAATATATACTGAAATCAAAAAAGAAATAAAACATGAGAATAAAAAATAAGACAGTACACATTTAACACTTTTAAACAGACTGCCAGAAACGGCACTGTGTTTAAAAGCAATATTAATTGAGTGTGTTTTAAGATTCTTTTTAAAAGGGCTGGTAGTTTCACTCAGTTTTTTTAAGTAGAGAATTCCAGAGAGCTGGGACTTACAGATATGTTAACATTAGGATAATAAATTATCTGCATCCATCATAAAAAAGACAGATTTATACCAGTTATTGGGAGCTTTTAAAAACATAAAATAACCAGTGTACTGTAACTACATGATAACATTAGCTGATCGGACCTAGGCCCATTATGACATTCTTATTTTATTAATTTATATTGAAAAAATTGTTTGATTATTTTTCTTCAGTTCCTTCTTATGTAGTTTATTGTTTCAAGTTGAATTAAAAAACAACACTCAGTTTTTTACTGCTTTTTTAAAAATTGGCACTGCTGTTTTGTAGTGCATTTTGTCAGTTGAATGATACGGGTATGGTTTAAAAAAAGAAAGAAAAAACAGTGTCCCGTTAGATATATGAGTAGATAGATGAGTACAATGTGGTCTAGATACATTTGAATTACAAAACCATTTCAATGTTTTTAAATTTGTTTAAAATGTACATACTTTTATTCAAATTTGGAATGTGTATCTTTTGTCTAAACTCAGTATACACAAGTAACCAAAAGACTAAATTAAATATAATAAATTAATACATCATGCTCACTTATTAGACATATTGTTTGATAAATTTTCAAATTTCCTCAGATTTTCTTCAGGCTCAGGCAAACTTAGTGAACAGAGGAAGTTTAAAATTTCAGTTATGGACATTAACGGTTAACTTCACTGTAATTTTCTCCCACAGGCCACATTAGAAAGTCGAGGGAAAAGGAGGCTTTCTGGAGGAGCAAGGCAGCCTAAAGCCCAGCTCAAACCAGTGGCTCCACTTCAGGTCAGCCTGGAGACATCTGCAGCCTCTTTAGAGCAAGACCGTGGGTCGCCATCAGCCAATCAGAACGCAGGATTTTCCTGCCCTTCTGAAGAAATCCATTTAGAGCCTGTAGCCCCTGCTGACAACCTGCCACAGTCTCAGCAGCCCCAGCTTGCTCCATCAGAAAAAGAGACTGTTATACAAGAGCAGAATGATGGTGTTTCTCATGAGAAAAGTCAGTCCATTCCCCAAAAAGAAAACGCAGAACCCCGCTCCACAGCGCAGGTACCGCTGGCTCTGAGGACCCTCAATGACCCAAAGGACCGGCTCAGGCTAGCAAAGGCTAAGAAACTCAGGGAGCTTCTAAAGAAAGAGATGAATAAAGACAAGGTGAGTTTGTGTTTGTGCGTCGTTGCTAAATGCCTGGATTTCTAATCAATCGATTATTGATGCTTTATAAGAGAAAATATTATGAGGAATAAAGCGAAACAAGCAGGAGTGAGAAGGAGTAATCATTTCTGGCTTCAGGACAGGGTTTCAAAATAATTTCCATTACTACACACAGTATTTTGGAAATTTTGACACATTTCCCTTTACTTAGAAAATAATTAAAAGGCCATTTGCTCAAAACTCACAGTTGCATGCCAGACTTTTAAGAAATACTGTGATTGTAAGCTTGAATACTTGAGTTCTGGCTAACATCCTCTTCACTGATGTTGACCTTAGCAGAAAGAAAAGCACCAAAGGCCCAAAATGGGGATCAGAGAGCGCAAATCAGCAAAAGACCACACCAAGATGACCATGAGAGAGCTCATTTACTACCTACCTTCAACCAATCCAATGAAGTAAGTGACTCTGATGTTTTCTGATACCTCAATAATAGTTGGCGTGTACGATTTAAGTAGTGTTAGTGTGATCATTATGAATTGTGTGATGATGCACTGAGTATCATGGGTATTGTCAATACTTTTAGAGCAGTGAAGAACTGCATTTATCATGAAAAGACTGTAAACAACAACAACCAGTATACAATAACTGTATGAACTGTAGTCCTCTTGTTCCTTCTTCGTTTGTTTTTGCTAATTATTATTCACAGTTGTTCGTAGCCTGTTTTGCGTAATGGTGTTTTGCTGTTTTGATGGTGCATTTTGTCATTTTTCAACTTGTTTTCAAATCTCAAAAAAACCCCCGAATAGCATGTTAGATCACCCTTATTTTCATGTCTCAGTTAAGATCGTCTCCTCACCTCTCATGCTTTTTTTTGTTTGCAGGTCATATGTAGAGGATGAGCAGAGAGCCAATGAGACTGTGTTGCCGCCTTCTCCAAAAGCAGCGTAAGACATCCTGTGCATATGAACATTAATACAGATAAAAGGAAGACTACTTCATTTTTTAAAAACATATATATTTATATGTATATATCTCGCTGCTGTTGGAACAAAACCTCCTATCTCCAAAATGAAAACTTTACAGGAGAAGGAAAACACCTGCTTTACATGTAAGTCAATGGAACCAGACTTTTTTCCCCCAAGTCATTTTGGGCCGTTTCTTTTGATCCAGTCATCATGAAATTTACGCACACTGTAAAGGGCAACAGGCATTTTCAAATTATGTCAAAAACACAAAAATGACAAAAATGGAGATACAAGGTTATGTTCAAACAACAGCCATGCATGTAGCCGAAGGCTCTGTTCTTTCTATTCTCGTTCTATGTGCTTTTGTACAACAGTTAAATAAATAAAGTAAGAAATTAATAAACTGGGCCGTAAACGCGGCATTTAATATGTTTTAATGTTAGCAATTCCTTCCACCAAATAATAGTTCCTTAACAAGCAGCTTTTTGCTACTTCAGAGTAACGAGCTCATTAAACACATTAAACTCGTTTCACACTCAGTTTTTTGCTTGTCCTTCTTGTTTTCTTTCTATTCTTGCTCAGGGCAATTACTTTACTTCCTGGTTCATTATATAGTGTATACTTTCGCTGAACTAATTCCTGTCTTATTTTGGCTTGATTGTCTCCTACAGCTGTCAAAGTTGTTGCTTAGCAACAGCGTCTCAGCAGAGTGATACAGTGTTTGTAAAAAAAAACGCTTCTCAACCAATCAGCTTGTGTGGCCGGAATATATATATATATATATATATATATATATATATATATATATATATATATATAAAATCATAATCATTGAGTTACTTACTGACAGTAGTGGTGATAAGAACCAGAAATCTAAAGAGTTTAATCCGTCTAAAAGCTGCATCACAGAAAGTTATTAGAGGAAATGGTTATAAATACTCTGCGTTGGTTATAAATACTAAGTTATAATACTAAGCTTTGACATAAAAAGCATTTTTAAAATCCATTCTTGGCAGAGAGATACATGCAGTGCGTTGTAAGGTAAAATAATCCTCAAAGAAAACTTTTCATTCAGACAATTTACCACTAACTATTATCAATGTTAAAAAGAAAACATAGTTTAGTTTTGAATAGTTAAAAAAAGGGTACATTTGCATTGTAGACATTGCAACCCCTGTTTCCTGTCACCACCACTGTAGAGAGAGATCTGAGTTGGTAAGTTTCTCTACAATGAACCATTGTGCATCAAACCACTCTGATTGGCTTTGTTTACATTTCAGTGATTGAATCATCCATACTTTTAAAAAATTGCTATAACTCCCTTTAAACATCACAGGCATCCATGTTCAGTAACCTACATAAATCAGAGCAAATTTGTTTTTTATTATGTAGTTACTGAGTAATAAAAGCTTGATCCTGCCGAAGGGTTTGTGAATGTTAAAGGTGTAATCTGTGGTGTGACTGCAAAGTAGTGGAATATAGGCATTTATTTTAACCAAAGATAAATGCGTACTGTATTAAATGCTGTTATAACCCATTATAACACTCTGAAGTCAGTGCTGTTGAATCACCATCTTCAGTCATGTTTATGTCCCTGCATTTTAGTGTTGTAGAAAAATCATCCTGATTTGATCTCAGATCAGCTGTCTGCTCTCTGTCCAGTCCTACTGTGGCCCCACCTGTGCCCCCAGTGAGAGATGAGGAAGATGGTGAGCAAGAGGAGGAAACGCCAGACAGTGAAACCAGAGAGGAAGAACCGTTACTGGCCCCCAGAGTGAAGGTGGCGGAGGATGGATCATTGATTATAGATGAAGAGAGGTCAGTGTGACCCACTAAACAGCTGGACAGAACGGTCATTGAGATATTTACACTGCCCTCTTCCTATGGATGGTTTGGCTGAAGCCTGATTGAGTGAAAAAATTGAAAAATGAATAAATCAAACGCTTGTTTTTATTAGGGATGTTGCTGTTCAATCTGAAATATCATATAATCATATTTTAATGGATCGGCATTGTCTGTATTAAGCCTGGTCCTATTGTGATCCTTTGTTTTACCCCACTGTGCTCTGTTTACACCACATTTGTGGAGGTGCCATAGGCAGACGTTATTCACCTGTGGCACTGTGTCGTAACATGACTGCATGTAAAAGTAGTAACAGTGCTTTCAAAGGTGCCTCATTGTAGAATGGTTATTTCACATATGTAGTCCACAAAAAATGTTATCACTTTGAGCATAACATTGACAAAAGTCAGTATTAAAGACATTATAAAATGGTAATTTCAGAAAAGTTTTGTAAAAATAAAAGTGATTTTTACAGAATGATTTTATTATTATATTATTATTAGATATTATTATATTTAGTAATTTACAGTCTAGTACATCATGTCATAGAATATTTGAAGTGTACACCATGTGGCTGTATTATCTCTGAAAAACAAAAATTGGATGATAGTAGGTAGATAATTATCTAATTATCTAAGTAGCAGATAAACTGCAATATTAAAAGACTCAGATCAAGTTTGGGGCAAAAAAATGAACTGAGACGTTTCTTTTAATGGTCACTTTTATTGTAGGGTTTTTATTCAAGAGCTGCAATTTTTTCTAATAGTCTACATTATTAACGTTATTAAAGTTGTCTTAAGTTAAGTGAGAAAATTTAACCTACTAACACTGTGCTTGTGAATTGCCTGTGGATGTACTGCGACATCACGGCCACAGCTAAATGGCAGTCGGGTGCACTATGTTCAGTGTTCAAGCCACACGCCAGAAAATGCATATGCTGGTGTTCTAGGCTACAAAACAGGCATGGACTCTACATTGTAGGCAAAAAAATATTACATTTAAATTGCATTCGCAGGATTGCTCAGAAAAATCGCAGTTAGACTTTTTCCCCAAATCATTCAGCCCTTTTTTATTCTCAGTGCTGTGTTTCACATCTGTGTTTCTGTGTGTAGTTTAACTGTGGAGGTGCTGAGAGTTAAAGGCCCGAATCCAGCGGAGGAGAGAGACCCCATATTTGAGCGTGGATCCACTACGACCTACTCCAGCTTCAGAAAGGGCACCTACACCAAGCCCTGGTCCAACAGAGGTCAGAATAGCAACAGCTAACGTAGAGTGAACCTGTGCTGGTCTTTGAGTAGCCCTGCTCTTCAAATTGTAGTGTTTTCCTGCTCTAACACCTGGTCTATATCAGAAAGGGCTCCTTAATGAGATGATAGAGTGAGCATCACACTGAACACTCTCTCCACCAGTTCAAATTGCTGGATCAGGTGTATTACAGCAGGGAAAACACCAAAATGTGCCGTCAGGGCTACTCAAGGATCAGAGATGGAAACTACTGAACTGCTGTTTATCATCAGGCTGTTTAGGGCCTGTATGATATAACACCACATTTTCTTTTATTTATACAGTCTATACGAGTAATATAAGCTGAATAAATGAGCTGTGTTGAACTCATTGTTTTCATGTTATAAAAACCAAGGTATACATTACATATTACATCAGCTCTCAGTGGTTTAGCTCCGCCCATTCACACTGAAGTTATAAGAAGTGTTTCAGCCTGGGCTGCTTTTGAAAAAGGTACAATACAAGGCAGCCAATCATAACAGATCATTTACATATATCAGCCTTGAAGGCACAGCGCCAAAAGCAGCCTGTTTAATACTATGGGATAAAGAAAAGTTTGTTAAAAAAACCTTTTAATTGTGATTATTTTGATTATGAATATATGTAAATGTGAAGCACAGGAAAAAAATACCAGAGAAATGTACAATGTAGGCCTTTTAAAACCGTAGAGGAGGGACATTTTCAGCACCATCTAGTTGTAATTCATTCTTCTTGGGTGTGTTCTTTAGAGACGGACATGTTTTTCTTGGCCATCAGTATGGTGGGGACAGATTTCTCCATGATTGGCCAGCTGTTCCCTCATCGTGCTCGTATAGAGATTAAGGTAAGAAGTCTTTTCAGTGGAAGCTAATCAAGAATGTAGCAGAGCAAAGGAACAATTTAAGCCTGAACTGAAGCTCACCACAACGGCAGCTGTCAGTGTTTCATATCTACGAGGTATTATTTCGAGTAGATTTCAGCTGCAGTATTTTTTTTAAAGGTGTTTCTTTTTTTCCAGAACAAGTTTAAAAAAGAAGAAAGAGCCAATTCCTGGAGAATAGACAAGGCATTCAGTAAGTGGAATGTTCTGCAGTTCAGTTTGTTAGGATTGTCAAAGCTGAACAGTGAAGAATTACATCCTTTTTATACATAGCCCTTCATTATTAGGGGCTCAAAAGTAATTGGACAAACTATGTTATGCTGCAACAAAGAGAATTGAATTGGATGCATTCTTATCAGTTGCATTGAGGCAAATTTACATTAAAGAAAGCAGTGGCAAATGACGACAAATGCTCCAATTCTAACTGGTAAGGTTATAATATTCAAGCTCAACAGCTAGAAAGGAAGATCAATCAGCCAGTTTCACCATTTTAGGATTGAACTTTATTGCAGTTTAACTGTCTTTCAGAAAATTCATTGTGACCAAAAATTTCATGGTCATTTTTAGTTGCAACATGTAAATTATTTGCAATATTCAACTTAGGCTACGTTTACACAGCAGGTGAAAGTGGCCCAAATCTGATTTTCTCACCAAATCCGATTTTTTTTTGTTTGGCTGTTCACATTATCTTTTAAATGTGTCCTATATGTGACATTAGTCTGAACAGATCAGCTCCTAAACCGACCCGTATGCGCAAAAGAACAGTGCTTCACGTGGCGGCTCGTCCAGAGGTGAACAATCATGACAGCCAGCGAACGCCAGTCGCTCCCGCAGCTTTCAGCTTCATCTTCGCCAGCAGCACAGGAGCGATTATAAAGTTTCAGGCGTTGACAGATGGACTCATCACCCACAGTGTGTTCGAGTTCGCCGTAAAAGGGCTCGATATTCTGCCACTTCTTTGGTTCGTGTCCTCGGATTCTTTAAACTGTTCTCTGACGCTGCAGCCTCGGGCTCCTCCGGCTGCGTTCAGCCGTTCTGAACACGGAGCGGTTTGATGAGTCTCTTCTAATGTTTTGGTACAGAAACATCAGCCTAAATGTTTATGAGTCTCAGCAGCGCGAAATTATGACGAATGTCGAGTTGGATTGATGGAAAAGTCCCATGAATTCCGATCTGGCTGTTCAGACTGAGTCGCATTGCCGCAGATCGGATACGTATCGGATTTCAGTACCACATATGAAAGCGTCTCAAATCGGAATTGAAAATGTCAGATTCAATGCGTTTTTTGCTGTTCACACTGCCACACAGACACACATCTGTGTTACATTTGAGGAGAAAGATCGGATTTGGGCCACTTTTACCTGCTGTGTAAACGTAGCCTTAGATGTAGTTAATCAGCCAAGACGTGTTTGGTGTGTGATGTTTGCTTAGTTTTGCACTACAGCTGTGAGTCTAATGTCACTAAGAAGTGATGAAATTTTGGGGGAACAGTTTGCCTAAATAATCGTACACTCACCTCAGACCATGCCGAGTTGTTGAGTAATGTCTAATATACCTGCTTATGTGGTTTTTGACACCGTGTGACATACTGTTATCTATAAAAATCCAATAATACCAGGTGTATATGGAGTCTGAAATGCTTGCTATTGTGACGTAACCTGATGAAATTCATTTTCTCTCCAGAGGAGAGGCGGCGCCTGGATCTCGACTTCTTCAACAACTTGCTGGAGAAGATCCTCAAAGACGAGGAAAAGAAGCGCAAGAAAAAGAAAGACACATCCAGGTTGCCCAAAGTCCCTCGCATTCCACAGAGAAAGTCAACAGGTGAGTTTTTCAGTCCACTGTTTTCCTCTTGATGTATACCTTCTGTGCCTGTACATCTACTTTACTGCTCCTGTTCTTAGTAGGGTGACATGGGGAAAATATTAGTATTGCAACAGTATTGCTAAATACTGTATTTTATCTTGAAGTTTAATCAGTAATCTGTAATGTGACATGGTTAAAGATGGGTCTGCATTATTTTGACCACAGTAATTTACGTTATTAATGACTTTGGAGGGATTTGTCCCACCCTCACCCTCAGAAACTCATTTGGAACTGTGTTTGTTCAGGATGCACTGTGATTGGTCGAAGTGCTCATTTACATATTACCACTTTTTGTGGCACTACTAAGGCCAGTGTCACAATATTGATTAACAAACCATCCAGCCGTAGTTTTGAGTTTGAGTTTCTCTCTGCAGTGAGGAAGAAGGTCTGCTCTTCTTCAGGCTCAGAAGAGGAAAGCTCGGGCAGTGATGTGATGGAGGGAGAGAAGGAGAATGAGGGCATCTCTAATGATGGAGGGAGCACCACCACTCCCATCACACCCCGGAGGAAAAGTGTGAAGAATGACACAAACAAAGCAGGTGTGCTACAGGCAGCAGGGAGAATATTTATATCTTTGTATAGATAAATTAAGACAGAGCACACTAGCCTGTAGAAATCTAGTTATTGGTGTTTTGCTACACCATTTTAATCTAATTACATGATTGCACAATTATATATGTACTTAACACATAAAATGGACAATGTGTGTAGAAACAAGGAGGTGGTCATGATGTTATGTCTGATCGGTGTATACGATTTACATTCTGTGTTGACAGTTTTGAGTCAGCACTTCTGATTTTTTCTGTTTGTTTTCCTTGTATACCTGCAAACTACTTGAGCAACTATATTAACAAACACTAATATGTTTTTCAGAGAATTTCTCTGCTTGTTGCCACAAGCTACAATATATGATAAATATGCAATCACAACATACGTTTATTATTATTTTTATCTTTTTCACAACTTTTGCACAATTTACCTGCTTTGCCTATTTTCAGAAATGAAAGAAAAAAACATACAACATAGCAAAAAAGCCAAAAGTCCTTGTACCTTGTAGTTTTAATTATGTCACTGATTTATCTTTAGCTGAGGTGGCTGATACAGAAGACGCTGAAAACAGTACAGTTGAAGGACAATCACCTGTGGACAGGTATGTGCCTATAGTGCCTTGTAGCCACACGCTAAGGAAGGTTATGCATTATAAGTGTAATAATTGGAGGTGGGTTTATGGTAAAAAAAAAATATTTAGTTCGTTAACAGACACAATGCAATGTGATACAGTAGTGGAAATAAAAAAAAACTGTGAGTACAACAGTTTTATTTTTATTATGTGTGATAAGGATCAAGAGCAAATGCCGTAATGCCATAATGGGCTGCTAACTTGTTATTATGCAGTTACCAGCTGTTGTTATTAATATTTTAGTCTCTTTAATTAGTGTAGTCTTTTTTAGGATACATGCAGTTGTTCAGTGTTCTTGTACTAATTAAACCTGCAATATGATCAGGAAAGCTAGTTATGATGTAATTTACCATGATAATACTGTCATATATATATATATATATATATATATATTATAAAGAGGTTATATATATATATGTATATATATGTGTATATATATATATATATATATATTGCCACACAACATTTCTGTGGTAAATGTACCCATGAAGATGTATTTCAACTGATGTTGTAACACTATACATAAACATACAGCGTGACACATATGCAGTAAACACTATACAATACAATATATAACACTGTGTATAGAATAATCACTAAAAAATAGACAGTAATTTTATCAGTGCATTCTTACAAAGACTGTAAATCTTACGGACAGATTATAATGATAAACACTTCTCAGAAGAGTTAAGTAACTTTATCGCAATAGGAGAAAAGTTGTTCTTGAAACAGGTTGTCTTAGTTTTATGCACAGTGCCTCTCAGAAGGAAGTGGTTGGAAAAGATGGTATGCTGGATGGGAGGAATCTGTCATTAATCTCTTTGCTTGCTTAAGAGTGTACTGAGTATAAACAGAGACAGCTGAAGGAAGAGGTGTTCCAAGGACAAGACACTGTAAAAAATTGAACATCTATATTTCCATGCCAAACTGTAATAGATGATGTAAGAACACTCTCAATAATAACTGAATAAAACTTAGTAGATCTCTTCTTACTTTGTACTTTTTTCATTTTTGCAAAAAGAATAATCTTTGAGTTTTTTTGGTGTTGTGTCAGAATTTTAAGATTAAGATTAAGTGACCCTTATTAGTCCCACAATGGGGAAATTTCACCTCCGCAATCTAACCCATCCATGCAGTGAAAAGCCACATTCACACTAGTGAAGACACACACTAGGGGGCAGTGAGCACACTTGCTCGGAGCGGTGGGCAGCCCTTTTCGCAGTGCCCGGGGAGCAGTTGGGGGTTAGGCGCCTTGCTCAAGGGCACCTCAGTCACGTACTGTCGGCTCAAGGGAATCGAACCAGGCTGGTTCCCTAGCCTCCAGCTCATGACTCCCCCCATAATATGCGCTACTTCAAAGAATCACTAATATAAGTTTTCAGGAAAATTTTAAAGATTGTACAACAGATATTGACTGTCCTAAAACCTGCACTGACGTTTTTACATTCGGTTTCTTCCTATAATCTACAATAAATTCCACTGTTTTTGATGGTTTAAGCTGGAGGTCACTGTTAGTGCACCATATTAACACATAAAATCAGGTTAATGTAAAAACATATGATCAGATTGCAGCAGCCGGATGTGACAGTGGAGAAACCAGATTTGGCGAGTTCTGGCATTAAACCTGCTCAGCTGAAAGGCCGAGCCCAGAGAGCGCTGCCTAACCTGGAGCGGAAGTGGAGAAACAAGGGACCAACCCTCCAAAAGAAAGCTCAGGACGCACACACCTCAGCAGGGGAGGAGAAGGGGAAGGAGAAAGGCTCAAAGGTACAAAGTCATCCTGGTATGAATGCAAAGCATCCAGTTTGATTGTGCATTTTGTTGAGTACAGTCTTAACCTCAAAGTGCTGGTGTAGGTTTTCATTTGAACCAAGTAGGAGCTTGATCCCAATTATTTATTCAGTTGGCTGCAGTCTCCAAACAGCTGATCATGTGTGCTCAGTCATACAGTGTGGTTTGGTGTGAAAGGCTCCGTTCTAACCAGCCGCGTCAGAATTCTTCACAGTAGTGGTGACGGGAAGCAGATGTCCAAAGAATTTAATGCCTCTAAAAGCAACATCACAGAAAGCTATTGCATGAAATGGTTACACATACACTACCTGACATCTGAGACATTATTTTATGATAGTTTAGAGATGACCTTTTGGCCTAAAACATGTTGAAGGAATAGTCTCCAAAGAAAGCATTTTTTTCCGATTTGCCACCGTTTTGCCATTATTAACACATAAGAAGACACATCTAGGTTCATCGGTATTTTTTGGTTGTATTTGCATTGTAGAGGTTGTGACCACTGGTTCTATTCACCACCACATGAACCATTTCACATCAAACCACTGTGAATGACTTTGTTTACACCTCGAAAATGGTTTTCTGAAGAATTTTTTTTTTTTAATTACCCTTTAAAAACATGCCTAAGTTCTTCTCCTGTTACATAATCCACTGGTCATAAAGTAAGAAAAGGCATTAAGGCAGTTTTATCAAAAATTAATGCATAAAATGGGAGTAAAAAGTCTGCAATATATTTGTAATTATTCTTAAACCTCTTTATTTTTGTTTTAATAATTAAACCAAAACATTGGTTTGCAATATATATGAATAATTCCATTAGTTTGTTTTGTGGATCCTTATGAAGTAGATCACTCGATTCCAATGGAAATCCCTGCTTTTTTGAGCTATAAGTAAGTTAAGAGATACTGCTTGGTTATGATTTCACACACAATGCTTGTACCTGTAGCTTTTACATAGCTTTAAAAGGAATAGGTGGCACAGACCAGCATTAAAATGCCACAGTGACATTAAGATTGTACATTTGCATAAAATTGAATTTGCTGATATCTGCAGATGCCCTGTTGTCTGGCTAACAGTTCAGTCCCCTATGTGGGTAAGCAACCCTACACTATACCAGTAAGAGTCCTTGGGCAAGACTCCTAACACTACCTTCATCTACCTGTGTCTGGATAAGAGCGTCTGCCAAATGCCGTAAATGTAAAATGTAAATGTAACCGAGAAATCCTCCTTTCTGAAATGTCCCCCAGGTCTCCTCAGCCTCAGTACGGGAGAAGGAGAAAAGAATCGCTGCTGACATCATTGCCTGTGGGTTGGGGGATTCAGAGGAAGAGGAGGAGCCTGATCTCACTGCTGTTCAGGAGCACATTCTCAACAAGCCAACCAGGTGGGTTTACCACTTGGAACGCTGTAGTTTACAGATTTAAAGATGAACAGCTACGCTTAGCTATTTTTTAGTGTCAGATGTTGCTACGTCATTCTAGAGGTTTGAAGGAAAAAAAAAGCGGTGTTCAGTCACACCTGTTCACTAGTTCAACCCCCAAAACTCACTCACGTCACAACATCCTCTAACACACCTTCTTCCAACTCTCAACAGAAAAGGCAGTCTTACCAACAGAGAATACAGAACTAGGCACAGAGCACTGTGTGGCCAAGCCACACCCCTACTACCTGTAACAGACCCAGTGAACTCTGGGTGAATCTTCTTGAATGAAAAAGCTTAACATCTATTACAGGCATGTCAAACTGGGGACCTTCTGGGCCAAAGTGCTGCGGAGATTAGCGTTTACCCTCATCTAACGCTCTGAATTCGGTTTATAGAGGCCTTGCTAATGAGCTGATGAGCTGAATCAGGTGTGTTTAATGAGGCAGTGTGCTGAAGTCTGCAGTGTTTTGGCCTGCCAGGACTGGAGCCTGACACGTGATCTATTAAGTATAAAGCCAAAAGTATTGAGACACCCCTCCAGATTATTGAGTTCGGGTGTTTCAGCCACACCCATTGCTAACACATACATAAAATCCAGTACATAGTCAGGCAATCCCCATAGACAAACACTACCAGTGGAACGGGTCGTACTGGAGACCTCAGTGACTTTAAACGTGGCACTGTAACAGGATGCGACAAGTTAGTTTGTGAAATGTCTACCTCACTAGATCTTCCAAGGTCAGCTGCAAGTGGTATTAACATGAAACGGAAGCCTCTAGGAACAACCAAGTTGCAAAATAGTGGGGTTCTTGGGGTTCTGGAGGGTCAGGGACCTACTAATTAACCTTTCGGACCCCCTGAATGTCTCAAAATCAAAATTCTGGGGGGTCCCTGAAAATAAAGTTTATTATGATGTTAGCTGCTTCACCTACAGTCAGTGTGTTTCTGTCATTTGGCATTCTCAACTAACTAGAGCTGCAGCACTGATCTGCCTCAACGTGATGCTGTAGCAAAGTGATTCACACGTTGTCCTTCATAGCCTGGCGACTGCAACTATCCCAGAATACCTCTGAGAAACTTTACAATATGCCATAGCATATTTGTAAATCTGAAAACATGCCCAATTTCCTGAGATACTGGAGGAAAAAGTGAATTGGTACTAATCTCTCAAACTGAAGAATAAAGAAGACCTGAATTAATGTGTGGAAAATAGCATCTCTAAAAGAATTGTAAAAGCAAACATTTTCTTGCCATTGAAGCGAGCGTCAGTGTCGCTGTGGTGAATAAGTTAGCAGCCCGGAAACGCTGGAGTAGCCAGCCAGGATGGGCAGTTTCTTTTTTTGCAGTGAAACAGTGTGACCTATGTTGCCTGTAGTATTTTGCAATATGTCAATGACAATGTGGGTCATATAAACAATATAGAGCATTAAAGATTTTTTTCTTCTATTAATTAATGTTTTGGTTAATGACGATGTTTTTCAGTTCAATGTTTCATCAGTGTCGAGATTGGTAGTCTTCCCCCTCATTCACTCTAATTCATTTGGCTTGTCACTTCTCTTAACTACATAAAAAAGCTGCCAACACTCAAATCATGGCACATTTATTTATTTATTTATTTATTTATTTATTTATTTATTAAGAGGAAGAAACCAGTTTTAATGAGAAGATTTTCAATGGTTTATAGTCATTGACTTAATTAATGTATTGTCTCAGGTCAGGGAGGATACCCAAGCTGTCCCAGCATGTGATCCGCGCAGCAGCAGATGAAGATGAAGAAGAGGAGCCGGAGTCGTTGCCCGTTCCTCCAGCTAAGGCTCAAAGCTCCAATAGCTCCGTCAGCAAGGCCCGAAAGAAGCCAGGCCCCACCCTCAAACGGGGCATGCCCAGGAGAGGCAAATCCAGGCTGGTGACGTTACGGGCCTCGGCCGCTGAAGAGGAGGATGATGACGATGAAGAGGATTATGACACGACTCAGGATGAAGAGCAATATCGTTCAAATGCAGAGGAGGAGGAGAACCAGGCCTTTGTGCCGATGGGCCTACGCTCTCAGCCTCAGGTCCACACAGAGGTGGAGGAAACCATGGAAGAGGTGAGAAGGAAAGAGAGCTGTGTGGATGTAGTTAAGTTATCATTAGTTAAAGAAGACTAGAGCCGCAAATAATGATTATAGCTGTTATTTAATAATCTATCAAGTATTGATTTGACTTTGGGAATTCCACAGATTTTTCAATATTCTGTTTAATTTAATGGTTATGCTCACTCAGAGTGGTTTGGTGTGAAATGCTCCGTTCCAGAGAAACTTGTTCAGAATTGTTAACAGTGGTGGTGAAAAGAACCAGATGTCTGAAGTGATAATGCCTCTTAAAAGCTCTCTCACAAAACGTTATTACGTGAAATGATTGTCATTGTGCTGATGCCTGATGCCTGAGACATTGTTTTATGATAACTTTGAGATAAGCTTTTGACTAAAACCATACAATTTTAGAAAATCATTCATGGTGGAGAGGTACGTGCAGGCTGTTGTAGTAGCCAAAGAAAAAAATCTTTTTTTTTCAGTTTTACTACTATTTTATCATTAGCAATATTACATATAGAAAATCAGAAGACATGCCTAGGTGGTCATTTTGGATAATAAACAAAATGGCTGTATTTACATTGTAGACATCACAAACCCTGGTTCCTATCACCACCATGGTAAAGAAATCGAAGTCTCTGGGTTTCTCTGCAGTTAATCATTTCACATCAAATCATTCTGAAAGACTTTGTTTACATCTAGGTGATTGACGTATTTTAAAGATAATTATTATGGTTATTTTCTATTATTTTCTCATTATCTCAATTTTGAAAACTTGGTGGAATCACCCTTTAAGCCACCAGCAATTAACTTTGTTGCCTAATCGTTGTAGCTTAGTTAACAGTTGACAAAGAAGATTATGAAAAAGTGTTGAATTAGATCATTATTGTCCTTATGTATTAATCATTCTGATAGATTGTAGTACATTCTAAGAGGTGTAGGGAATGATGTGGCTTCTGTTGTTTTGTTGCTCCCTAAAAGAAGAACTCCCTTGTCTCACAAATGTAACTTTGACTGGTGGTGGCTGCAAAAGGAGAGGAACCGAGGAAGGTATATTAGTCAGATCAGAGGATTAATAAAAAAAAGGGTCAAAGATTAATCAATTATAGAAATTGTTGCAGCCCTTATGAAAGTCCTCTGTTAAAAATTCATTCCATGCACATAGCTTACCATTCAGTTCCCAGCGCTGCATGAAATGTAGCCAATTACAGGTTTTATTTTTAATTCATTACAAATACAGACTGTCAGTGTTTTCATATTATTTGTTTTGTTTTAGTCGTTCCACTGTCTGAATCGAAGCATTTCCTTTGTGAACCTGTTTCACATTACATTTGTTTTGTTGTCTATTTATTATGTTCAGCATATTTGTCCATGCATGTGTTGCCCATCCCTCTCCTGTCCTTTCCTCTTCCATTACCCATGACCCATGTGCTCCCAGCTGGACATTTCTGTGAATGTACCTGATGTCTTGGGTATATCCCAGAATGCTGTGTGTCCTGAGTCTTCCTGTGAGAGAAGCTCTGTGCCCTGTGAGCATCAGCTCGACCTGCTTGTCGTAAGTGACCTTTCAGCTCCGGGAGCCTGTGTGGGTTTGTGACCCTTAAAGAGATAGTTTGGCTAAAAATCAGATTTAATGATATGTGTTGATATTACAGACAAAACACACTTTTTGTCAAGACAGATGGTTTTAAACAGCGTACATAGGTGCCTAAAATGTTTGTAAGATGTAACAAAATTCTTTTGTCGGTGGCTAAAAGAACGTGATTAAAAGAATTTAAACTGTAGTTCATTACGCTACGCATGTTACAGGAAAAGGAAATCACATGACACATTGCCCTGATACTGGTTACAAAGCTAACGCGGCTAACAAGTAGTGGAAGCTTATACCCCACAGTTAACATCGTGCCAACTGCACGTCTATTAACACCCGACCCAGACTTTGTAGAGTATGTGATGATTTAGGCATGGCATATACGTGAATATCGTTCCGGCAGGAACAAGACCTCATATCTCCTAAATGGTAACCTTACATGAGAAGGTAAAAAACAGCGGGCCTCAATCACCAATATCTTCCTAAGTTTTAACTTAAATTCTTGAGAAGAGTCTTAAGATTGAAATTGAGAAAGGTCAGACCTTTCTTAAAAGGTCTTAAACCACAGAATTGTTCACACCTTTGTGCTCTTGAGTGTGTAGATTCTGTACTTACCTAAGAACAAATCCCAAATAAGAAAACACTGTTGAATGTCAGAATCTTTGTGAAAACTGTGTAAGTGGACTTTAACTTCTTAAACCCCTTGAGACCACCGGTGGTTCCAAAATGCACTTTGTCATGTTCTTCATAACTTTCATATTTCATAAGCTACATTCAGAAGGTGGGGGTCGTATGAGAGCTGTAACTTCTTTCCAGTCAAATAGATGGGTGATGTAATTTTAAACCCTTATAATAAAAGAAGCTGAACTCACAATTTTTTTTTTCTACTGAAAAGCAACCCATTTTTCCACAAATCTGGGCTATAAACTATAAACAGATGGCGTCTCTTCAGTGATCTGCTCTGTAAAAATTATTTTTCTAAAATAATACAAAGAGTAACTAAGATTTTTGGCTTTCAGCAGTAAATTGTAAGCATATAGCAATATGTGTAGATCATAGAACACGTTCTGTTAATTTGAGGGGAGCTTTTACAAAAAAATGAATAAATAAATAAATAAAAATTTGCATTTATTTCATGCAGTTACTGCGTAATTTGCCTTACGATTTGGTCATGTAAATTCAGATGGACAAACTAAAATATACCCTGGAGAATAAGAGGTTAAGAAGAAATTTCTTCTTAAGAATGCTTGGTTAATGAGGCCCAATGTTTACTTTTAATGTAAGTTAATGTAACAGGACTTCAAGAAAGTCAGTATGGGCCATTTCTACTGGCTCAGTAATCTTGACATTTATACACAATGTAAAGGGCAATTGACATTTTCACGTATTGCAAAAAAAAATAATAATAATAATAAAAAAGGAAAATGGAGGTACAAGGCAGAAAAAAAAATACATATGCCTAAAATAAATGTAAGTAAAACTTCACATAAATTGCATCATTTATTCCCAGATGGACAATCGCGTATCAGAACTTGCTTTCTTACTGGGTTTCATTGAGATTCTTTGTCAAATTAATCTGCTTGACCTGTGCTCATGACCCCCACCTATTTGAAAAGCATCAAGGGCATTATCTTCACACTCCAGTTAAGGTGTAGGTACAGTAGAACTGCGGTTAAAACAGTGCATTACCAACACTTTAATACCTGGACCCAGAATAGCACAGAGCCACATCCACACTGAACTGGTCATCACATTCATTGGAAAAGATCATAATTAATGTGCACTTACTTATTTTAGTGGTGTTCAGTGGCTCGCAGTATTTATTGTTTTCACTGCTCTGATTCAGCTGCTTGGATCAAATACAATAGACAGAAGGAAACTATTTTTTAAATTGTTCCTCATACTCTTATATATATTTTGGCCATAATTTTTTCTCCTGGTTTTTGCCCTACTCGTCCTGTTGAGATAAACGAGTGTGTGTCTGATTTTTGTTGTAGGATGTGATTGAGTTCCTGGCTCCAGAACACATGGAAGGTGAGAATTCATCTAATATCATTTTTTACTAGCCAGTAAAAACAGTGTGAACTTCTTTTTCTTTGAAATTTTCCTTTTTCTTTCAATGTGTAACTTTGTTCTCTGTGTGTCTCTCCAGTGTCTGAGAGTTACGCTGAAGCAGCCAGGACACTCCTGACCATCGGAACCTCTGGTCAAATGACTCCAGCAATAGAAGCACCCAGCACAGGCAAGATGGGTTGAATATTTTAAACACATTTCTTTGCCTCTTCATCATTTACCTGCTTCATCTTAATAGCATTTAGAAAGTAAAGTGGTGTGTCTTCTCAGAACCTGTTACTCCTCGTGTCACCGTGGTAGTGGTTGTAGTGTAAGCATGGAAATGGTGGGTAGTGTATCCATGCAAATTGTTGTAGAGTAACCATGAAAACGGGTGTAGTGTACCCATGAAAACGGGTATAGTGTACCCATGAAAACGGGTATAGTGTACCCATGAAAACAGGTGTAGTGTACCCATGAAAACGGGTGTAGTGTACCTATGAAAACGGGTGTAGTGTACCCATCAAAACGGGTGTAGTGTACCCATGAAAACGGGTATAGTGTACCCATGAAAACGTGTGTAGTGTACCCATGAAAACGGGTGTAGTGTACCTATGAAAACGGGTGTAGTGTACCTATGAAAACGGGTATAGTGTACCCATGAAAACGGGTGTAGTGTACCTATGAAAACAGGTGTAGTGTACCCATGAAAACGGATGTAGTGTACCCATGAAAACAGGTGTAGTGTACCCATCAAAACGGGTGTAGTGTACCCATCAAAACGGGTGTAGTGTACCCATGAAAACGGGTGTAGTGTACCCATGAAAATGGGTGTAGAGTAACCATTGTAAATGGGTGTAAAATAACCATGGATACAGGTTTAGAGTAACCATGGAAATGGGTGTTATGTAAGCATGAAAATGGATATGCTGTAACGTAACTATAGAAATGGGTGTAGCGTACTTGTTAAATCTGGTGTAGTGTAACCTTGGAAATGAGTGTAGCCCACTGATCGGCCGTAACATTATGACCACCTCCTTGTTTCTACACTTATTGTCCATTTTATTGACTCCACTTACTATATAGGTGCACTTTGTAGTTCTACAGTTACAGACTGTAGTCCATCTGTTTCTCTGCATACTTTGTTAGCCCCCTTTTACCCTGTTCTTCAGTGGTCAGGACCACCACAGAGGAGATATTATTTGTGTTGTGGATCATTCTCAGCACTGCAGTGACACTGACGTGGTGGTGGTGTGTTAGTGTGTGTTGTGCTGGTACGAGTGGATCAGACACAGCACTGTCCACTCTATTAGACACAACTACGTTTTTGGTCCTCGGTAACTCATCTGTTGCTGCACAGTTTGTGTTGGTCATCCTCTAGCGCTTCATCAGTGGTCACAGGACGCTGTTGGCTGGATGTTTTTGGTTCTCAGTCCAGCAGTGACACTGAGGTGTTTAAAAAGTCCAGCACTGCTGTGTCTGATCCACTCGTACCAGCATAACACACACTAACACGCCACCACCATGTCTGTGATACTACAGTGCTTAGAATGATCCACCATCCAAATAACGCCTGCTCTGTGGTGGTCCTGTGGGGGTCCTGACCACTGAGGAACAGGGTAAAAGGGGGCTAACAAAGTATGCAGAGAAACAGATGGACTACAGTCTGTAACTGTAGAACTACAAAGTGCACCTATATATTAAGTGGAACAAGGAGGTGGTTTTAATGTTAGGTTTGATCGTTGTGTATCAGTGGTATAGAATATCAGTGTCAACCTCTAACTTACTTTGAAAGTGACGGTGGTGGGGGGCGGGGAGCGTGTGTTCCCCCCTACAGAGGCTTAATAAGGCTTTTATCTGTTTTTTTAAGGCGAGGACGTCATCATCATTGAAGAACCGTCACGTTTTGTGCAACAGGACGTTCAGCAGGAAGTCATCCTAGAAACGACTGAACAATCAGAGGTTGGAGACGAAACCTGTCAGGTGGTGACCTCTGATCCTTCTGTCAGTGTCACATCAGAGTGCAAGGATGTTCTTGACCCGGCTAGTAACGCCTATGAGGATAATCTTGACCAAGTTATTTCTAGAGCTGATTCTGCAGAACCTTCTCAGCAAGACTCCAATTCAATGAAAGAGTCAATCAGTTCACAGGAAACTGAAATTTTGCCTAGCAGCAGCAACTCAGAGACCTCAGACATAAAAACCTCAGATCAAACTGGTTCACAAATACGTAGGAACCGTCTGCCCAAACCCAGACCAAACCTGGGTCGAACCTCTAGATCCATAAAAACACAGCAGAAGCAGACTTCCCCAGAAAAAGGCATTGTGACTATAGAGAAATCCGCCATCATTTCCCCAACATCTTCAGTTAAAACAACTACAGAAGCCCAGATGGTTGAGTCTAAACTGTCGATGGAAGTTTCTGAAAGAAAAGTTTCTGAAGACAATGAACAAGATTCTGCTCACACGCCTGCTGTGACATCTCAGCCTGAATTGGAGGAAAACAGCTCAGCATTGCCTGACCTAAAAGCATCTGTGAGCAGAGAAGAAAAGCTGGAGGGTGAAGTTTCCAAAGTAGAGGTATGTGTGGAAGAAGAGAAGGTGGAGGCAGGAGAGGAGAGGCTCCAACAGCAGCAGCCACAAAGGTAATCTGCATGTTAATGCTTGTTTCATGTTTTTGCTGTCCAAAGAAAAACATGCATTTCCTTTTTTTTTCCATTTTAATTTTTCTGCATCAACTGAGCAGACATCCTTTACATTGCCTCAAAGCTTCATGATGAATGGACCAATAGAAATGGTCCAAAATTACTCCAAAAAAAAATCTGATTACCTTGACTTACATTACGCTAAAGAAAATTTTTGCCTTCTCCTGTAAAGTTACCAATTTGGAGATCCGTTTTTATTTGGACAGCAACAGTTTAAAAAAAGAGTTTTTTTTACAAGCAGTAATATTACTGATTATGTTTTAGAAGAGCTTGTTTTAAGGCTGCACAGTAGATTTTGAGTTATTTTTGGTGTCAAACGTTTAGCATAATATAATGTTTGGTGATCTTTACAGTGGTATACTGATACACTGATAGAATACTGTTATCACAGATGGCTGGATTATGCGAACGAGCCCTCTAACCGATCACAGTGTTTTTAGTATGTGCTGTGATCATTCTGACCAATCACAGTTCGCGATGGTTGTTTCTGTTGGTGTGTAATCCAACATAAGTAGATTATTTTGGTCAAAATGCAGGTTAATTTTTATCCATTTCATGTATTTTTTAAATATTACAAGGAATATCGCAATTGCAGTGTGTTGCAGTATAATGGCAGAACAAGTTGTTTGTTCATATTGTGTAGCCCTACTTTATTAACACTTTACTGTAGGGTACTGTTCATAAGGCTACATGTCATCTACATAAGCTTGTCATGACAACTAATCAAAATTTGATCAAAATTGGCAAACGTAACGTTTATAATGAATGACGCCTATTGGAATAAGCATTTATAAACATTTATGTAGGGTTATGTCAGCTGTCATGACAAGCTTGTATAGGTGTCATGTAGTCTTATGAACAGTACCCTACAGCAAAGCGTTACCCTTAATTTGAATAATTCTTACCCCTTCTCTCTCTCTCTCTCTCTCTCTCTCTCTCTCTCTCTCTCTCTCTCTCTCTCTCTCTCTCTCTCTCTCTCAGCGGTAATGAGTCTTTAGCAGGTTCTTCTGTTCCTGAAAGCTCTGTGCAGCCATCTCACCCTGTCCGGAGGTGCCGTGGACCCAAACCTAAACCTAACCTGGTCCGGAGCTCCAGAACAACACGCACTCACACGGAACAGAAACCACCACAGTCAACAGCAGGTGAGAAAACGAAGAAGTCCAAATGATCAGATGCTCTGACATTTGGTAGATTAGTAAATGTGTTGTCAGGTGAAAGAATGTCACACGTTCTGTTTTTTTTCTCTTCCTGATTTTTCTTCACAGTACCTAGTGCAAAGGAGGCTGCTGTGAAGTTGTCCTTAGACACTTTAACTGACACTCAGATACCAGTGGAGGGCACCGACATCATCACAGAGACAGTCATCTCACAAACTCAGACGCAGCCAGAAACAGAAACACCACGTGACTCTGTTATGGTAAAGCATGAAGTTGTCTGTATAGCAAATTTATTGTGCGTATGTACACATTGTAAGCATCACAGTCTGTATTCATGGCTTTTTAGTATACCACTGATGTCATATTGAAATCTCAAAGGATTTTAAACCCTCTTCTGCCAATTCAGAGATGAATGGACCAATACAAATGGTCCAAAATTGCTTGGAAAATTACATTACATGACATTAAAGTTAAAAACTTTTCCCTACACCTTAACAGTTACCATTGTGTAGATATGAGTTATTATTACAACAGTGATGAAATCCAACCAGTAGGCCTGATTTGTATAAATTAGGGATTGACATATTAATATTTATCAGTAATCGAATAGAAACAAGTAAATTTATTAGTATTCCAGTTATCAAATGTCATTTCAACCCATTCAACAATGGTCATTTACTGCTGTTTGAGAAAGAATCCTTCCACATTTCACTTTGTTTTTCTGCTGTTCTCTTTCGCACTAAATCCACTCTTCACTAAACGTCAGTGAACATCATTTGATGCTGTGGTGCAGTGACCTTCCGCTCCAGTCGAAATTCACTGCAATTTCATCCCATCCCTGCAGTTACTTTATTACTCCTATTAAGTCTAGTGGTCAGCTGTACTATTTAAGTGTAATGACATAATTCCATAAATATTGGTGTAGTTATGTAGTGCATCATGTTTTAAAAGGTTCAAATTCGCACAAGTCACAACAAAAGATAAAGTTTAGAATCTGCGCTTTCAATACAATTTCTTAGCTTTTTTCAGTGAGCGACAGGTTTATATAAAATCTGTGTGCTTTCGTTATCACTGGTAGGTAACTGTGACTAAGTGTTAACAATTTAAACTTTAAAATTTTAACATAAACCATATTTCGAAACCAGCTCCATAATATTGAGTTCCAAGCCAGCCTGTTTTGATTATTCAAATAGTTGCATTTTCTTAAGCATCCCTGGTACAATGCCAAGAACACAAGGGTGCTTTGGATGAAAAGTCCTCCGTAAATGATGGAAGTGGTATAATATGTACTTTGTATTTTCTGCATAGGCCGTCCCCACTGCAGGTCCAGAGGAGCTGTCTGGAGCAGTTTCCACGCAGGACTCTTCCAACGCGTCTGAGATAAGGACTGGAGGTGTTAGTGAGGACGTTATTGAGAGTGTGTCTATGGAAGAGTCTGAAATCACAGCTGAAGTACTTTCTGCTGACCTCCTACTGGAGCCTGACCCCCCCTCTGATGAGCCTGTATATATTCTCTCTCTCTCTGAAGTACCGTCCACTTTTGCAGAAAGGGAGGAGTTTTCTGCAAAATCAGAAATGCCATCTGAACCCCTGAGGTGAGGTCTGGGGACTGTCTTTCCTGCAGCGTGAGTTTGCACATAAAGACGTATGAGGTGGTCTAAAAACTGAGAAAATCTGACCCAGCGTCTCAGTACTGATACTTTTTTCCGTTTTTGTAAAGAAAGACAAAGGAGGGTGGCTGTTATTTTATAAACTGAAAGGTGATGACTAAGGAGTGCAGGGTATTTCATGCAAATAAATCAGCAGCTAAACAGCTGAAGTCCCCATGCTCTTCTCTTCTCTTCTTCAGCGATACTGCTGCTAATGTGGGAGGTCCAGGCTCAGATGGAGATCAGGTCTCTCACCTCCTCCTGCCTGACTTGTTTGTGCCCGTCTCAGAGGAGCAGGAGGAGAAACAGATGGATGTGGATGAAAAAGAGGAGGGCAAAAAATGCAGCAGAGAAAATGAAGAGGAAGGCTTGAGCTATATCAGCAAAAGAGGACATTCTCTTTTAACTCAGAAGGTGAGAATATGAAAAAGATTCATTTAAGACCGTCTGATGTTATATCTGCATCTGTATGGCTCTAAAAGTGTAAGTTTTTCACATTTTACTTCTTTTACCTCCACTCTTTTTTCAGGAAGCTGCTGTGGAGGGCCTTGCTGAGCAACGTGGTAAGGCTATTTTTGTTTAAGCTTTTAAATTTTTATCCATTTTACTGCTGAGGTGGTCAGAAAAACCTTGAAGTCCAGCTTATTAGTCAGAAAGGTGTATAAGCAAGTGTCAAATGGTGATGGAAAGTTCTGTAGTACATTTAATTATTTGTTCATAACAAATATGGCCCCAAAAGTCTATTACTGTATTTCACGTATACTATATGGCCGAAAGTATGTGGGTCATCTGCCTGTCACCTGATCCCCATAAACCCTGAATAAATAACAGTCCCAGACTGTTAACCCTCCTCCACCAAACTTTACTCTTGGCACTGTGTATTCCGGTAGGTAGCGTTCTCCTGGCATCTTCCAAACCCAGATTCATCATCCAGAGAACACGTTTCCATAGTCGGAGTCCAGACTTCAGCTGATGCTTGTCATTGCGCATAGTGTCCTTAGGCTTGTGTGCAGCTGCTTGGCCATGAAACCCCATTTCATGAAGCTCCGGACGCACAGTTTTTGAGCTGATGTTGCTTCCAAAGGCAGTCTGGAGCTCTGTAGTGATGCAACAGGGGATAGGCAATATTTACACTCTTTCAACTTGTGGCGGAGGTGTCCTCCTATGACAGTGCCATGTTTAGTGTCACTGAGCTCTGATGTACGACCCGTTCTACTGCCAGTGTTTGTCTAAGCAGATTACATGGCTATGTGCTTGATTTATACACCTGTTCGCAATGGGTGTGACTAAAACACCTGAACCCTGTAATTCAGAAAGGTGTCCACGTACTTTTGGCCATATAGTGTACATAAGTCATAGTTTGCCTTATCAAAATAGTGTTAACTGTGTCCCTTTCCAGCAGAGCCCTCATTAAGCTCTGAGGCAGATGGAAGCAGCGAGGAGACGGCTCATCCTGCTAAGAGACGAAAACTACCAGAGAAAGGCAGGAGAGGTAAGGGGCAGAGGTGGAGTTAGTTTTCAGGTTTCTCCATCTAGCTGCAATTACATTACCCCCTCTTTTTTGTAGCTCTGTTGTTTTAAGGAATCTGTTTCGATTCCTGTGTTTCATGTGTGCGATTTGGGGAAAAATACCATGAAAAGTCCAGAGAAACTATATTTAAGTGAAAGACCTGTGCCAATTTTTTCTCATCAAAAGTGGAAGGATGGAGCCAAGAGTACAAGCCCTTGTCAGCTTGGCTTTGCCATTTCCCTCCGTTTTGGGGGGTTCCAAGTACCATCTTAAGGGCTGTTCCATTACTTTGTTAGCTTAAGTGAAGTTTGTAGATGAGGCCTTTGGAGGGCGAGGGACCAAGTGATCATAAGTGTTGACTTCAGCAACAGAACTTGCCCAGAAATCATTGCAATCTCATGCTATTCCTTTCTTCCAAAATGTTGTGGACAAAGCTGATTCTAAGCCATAGCAATGAAACAAGTTTGGGTAATTGTTAATATTTTAAAACTTTCACACTCATTTTACTACATTGGAGCTAGGATTTACATAGAAAAACACTATATCTTTTATACATGAATGCTAATATTTTATTGCTTTATTTTCATATACTTAAGTTACTTTTATAGCTCATAGCCAGACAGAGCAACTTGTGTAGGTGTGATGTACTTCTGAGTGGTAGTACAGAGATAAGGCCAGTATCAAAACAGAGAATGGACATGGGTACAACAAGTACAAGTACAAGTTGATTCATTTTTAGGAGATATTTCTGAGGAGATAGAAGATAAAAGGTAATAGGATAATCCACTTGCATAATCAAGATGAAACTCAAAGGCAAACTGTGCAATAAAGAAAATGTACTGAAAAATGGGACTCCTAACAACCACCTGCAAGACCTGATGGACCACCAAAACTGTCCCCATCAGATAAACAGCACTTAAAGCTTTCATCTTTGAGAGAGAGCTCCAAGCGACAACTCTTGCTTCAGAGGCTTCAAAAATATTGCAAATCCAACAAAGAAACTACTGGTGTTCTCAGAATAATGGACTGACCACCCCAGAGTCCAGATCTCAGCATCACTGAATGTCTTTGGAACTGGTTGGATTGCAAGAAGCAGGAAATGCAACCAACTTCTAAGGCTAAACTGTCAAAGAAAAACATCCCTGCTGATTTCTGAAACTGAAAGTGAATCTCCTGAAAAAAATGGAAGCTGTAATAGAGGCAAAGAATGGACAATAAATGCTCAAAATTTGATGTTATATTGTCCAGATGTGTGTGGAACATGGATAGCTTGTACTTAATGACCATTTAGACTCGAAATTAAATAAATGAAAGGCAGTCACAGACTTTGCACAGTACTGTATACCTGCTTAATATGCAGGTGTATTTTGAGCTGTGTGGACATAAAGTTCGGAAACTAGAATAGAAGATTTACCTGCAAAAAGAAGCTGTTCCCAACATCTTGATTCTTAAAGATGTTTATTTACACGTTTTCTTTCTGCTTGCAGCTAAGCTACAGATCAAACCAAACCCAGTTCAGAGAAAAAGCCTCCGCAGCCTCCCTGCAAAAGAGCTTTCACCATTGCCTCCAGAAGAAACAAGCACTTTACCTGCTTCATCACAACAGACTGTGTTATTGTCTGAAGAAACTGTACCATTAACCGCTTCATCAAAGGACACAGCTTCAACTTCAGTTTCACCAGAGGACGTCCTGTCCACAGCTGTTTTCGGTGAAAGGACTACAGCTCCCTCTGCACTCCTCCCTGCTCCATCTCAGTCTTCCTCAGAGCAAATTTCTGAACCATTATCTCAGCCTGTCAGTGTAGAGACTCCGCCCTCCCAGGCTGCACCTGAGGCCTCGTCCCAAAGCACTGTTGGACAGGAGGGTCTCCCAGAGGCAGAGGCACTGGAGTCTGTTAGTGCAGAGGAGACAGAAGCCAGTGGGTCAGGGGCCGAGTCACAACCTGCACATCAGATCACACCACTGGCCACGACTGGTGCTCTTATAAGGTGAGTCTGAGCTCGGACCTGCGATTTCGGTGTTCTTATGTTCTGTTTTCTTAAACCGATGGATCAACCAAAACTCACATGTAAACAGTCTTCCTAATGTAGCAAATGTAGTCATGACATGTTTGACGTTTGCTTCTTTAGTTTTGCACTGGAGTTATAAGGCTAATGTACGAACACCTGAATCATCACACGGTTGTTTCATATTATTAGGTTGTCACAAATAGACTTGTTCATGTGGTTTCTGACTCTGAATGGCACCTATAAAACTGGACAAAAGCTAGCACAAAATCCAGCCTTCAGTGGCAGTCAGCCAACACATGTTCGGTGTTGGTGTGTTTTGTTGGATTTTCAAGGCTAATATTGCTAACAAGTATATGCAGTGCAACGTATTCACCAAAATAGACAAAGGTGTGGACAAATTAAATTTTTAGCTACGTGAGATTACTGAAAACTCAAAAAAGTCGTTTCAGTACAGTACCAAAAAATATCCATTCTAAAAGGGCTGAAGAAATTTAAAACTGTAATACTGATACACCGCTCTGTGTCTCCAGAGCATCTTTCATTTACTATCTGTCATGGATTTTTGGGCCTGTATGTTCTGCTCTATTTTAAGCGTATAATTAGAATCTGTACAATCAAAATATTTTGACACCTAAAATATCAAAAATCTAACCAAATCTCAAATATCATACATCATAATCAGAATAAAAAAAAAAGTTTTGGTCTTAAAATGTGTTGTTTCACCACTAATAAGCATCTGTTACTTGTTGGCTACATTGGTCTCCAGTATAAAACTAACGAAACGAATTTCAGACACCAGAATGTTGCATCATCCTTATGAGGCAATATAATTGCAATATGCATTATGTTGCCCATTAATCTCTGCTTTACTAATGGGCTGGTTATTGTTCTCTGTAGACCTGGTAGGAGACCTCGAGGCTTCCTCTCCTTCATGTCCAGTACAAGCACACAGGGGTCTTCATCAGCCACTCGAGGAGCTGCAGCAGGCCCTCAGAGACCGGCTGTAAACACATCTCGTTCTGAAAGGAGAAGAGCCACACCGGGGCCTCTTACCTCAGTCAGCAGATCTGCATCTGCTCCCCAAAAACCCTCCAGAGTTAATCCCCCACTCACCAGCACACAGCCTACTGTCCCAACTGCTCCTGCTCCTGCTCCTGCTCCAGCTCCAGAGGTAAAAACATAATGATTTACTGCATTTGATGATTGTGTTGTGCCTAACAACACGCCATAACTGTGGCCATAAAATCACTGTGATGTGTACCCTCAAACGGTTTATTGCTTTTTTAAAATGGCAAGAAAATACACTCACCAACGATCACTGAATAATTTATAATGAGTGCAAATAACAGGTCTTCTGCCAAGCAGTTTAACTCCAGCAGCATAATGGTTAAAGATTATTCTGTGAACAGCAGAATGTTTATTAATGTTTATTAATATAGATTTCAACTGATGTATGCGGTCATATGTCTGTGTGTGGCTCCCTCAATTAAATTTTAGTCTAAATGAACTATTAATTTTATCATTTAAATGAATTAGTTAACCTAAAAAAAATAAATAAACCACGTTACTGGTTATTTTTTAATAATTCGTACACTTGTTTAATTGTTGTTTGTATTTAATAAAATCTTAATTATTAGTCTACAGCATTTCTTTGTAAACCCACCCACCACTTTCCTGTATTGAAACTGAGACTTTTATTATGATAGCACTGGGATTTGTTGCTAAGAAACACACACCAGTTTAGTATGTGTTTTGCTCATTCTTGAAACAATACATTGGTTTTAGGGTGATTTTCAGTCTTCTGATGCTGCTGTATGAGCTAAAATCTGAGCTAAAATATGTTTTTTGATTGATCAGTTGATCTAAAACCCACAGTGTCACTGGCAAAGGGTCACATTTTCATGTTTTTATCTTTTTCAGAGACTTTTTGGTAAATTGCTTATATTTGTTATTTATATTCAGTTAAATATTGTCTACAGCATTTCTTTATTATTGCTCTGTTGAAATTGAAACTTTTTTTAAAATATTGAGACTTTTATTATGACAAAACTGTATTGGTGTTTACCAGTGTTGAGTGGAGTCACTTGGTCTTTTTTAAAATGATACAACGGGTTTTTGGTGTTTCTATTTTGCTGACTCTGATCTGTCTGTGTTTTTCTGTACTGCTCATCTTTCTCAGGTTAGAGTTCAGTCTGAGACCCTGTGTACGGACCCAAATGCAGAAGAGGAGCCCACCAGCGTTTCCGCTTATTTCTTCAGCGACATCTTCACCGAGGTGGACGAACAGGAGGAGATGGAGTGAGGGATTGACTTCTAGAGGGAGTGAAAGCATGATAATAATGATGATAATAATGATGATAATAATGATGTGGCTGAATGAAACATGGTGGGTAGCAGGTAGCATTTTATCGCTGTCATAAGAAACCCTCTCACTTTTTCTCTTACATTATTTGACATGGCAGCTTTACACTGTGTAAACATTTCATGATGAAATTTTTCATTTTTTTTCACACTAAGTTGAGCGTTTTTCTTTCTTTTATTAAGTTACTGCTTCGAAGACCGAGCTCTCTCCTGACAGCGACAGTTTGCATGTTGTTGCTTGGCACCTACAGTATTTCACTAATTATTAGCCACATTAGCATGTTTTAGGTGAAGCCATCCTTCCTTTAAAAAAACAAAAACAAACCTGCACTCCTTAAATATGGATGATGGGAAGTGATGTCGGACTCTGAATCAGGAAAAACACTCTAATACTCACTGTTTTTTTTATTAAGTGACTCAGTTAAAAAGTGCTTACTCATGTTTACCCGATAAATTCTGCTGAAATTTGATCGAGGGGTGGTTATTAGGCTGTTAATCCATGACTGAAAATCAAGTAGAACTTTATACCTCAAAGCTATACAGAGCCAAAATAGTAATGCAGTTTGCTCTCGTTTCACTTCAGTTGACTAAAGCAGTGGTTCTCAAAATGGTCCTCAGGGCCTCTGAATAGTCCTCATTTCTTCTCATTGTTGGTTGGGTTGGAGCAAAAATGTGGATCATCTGGAGCCTTGAGGACTGGTTTGAGAACCACTAAATTAAAGTAATATTCCATTTTATTAACATTTTATCATGTGCTGCAGCTGTGTGACACTGTCAGATACCACAGACATTGATTTTGAAGCGTTTTCCTGCATTTAGAAAAGAAGAGAAAACCTGTTCACTCTAAAAACACTGTCAGTCGGCAGGTACTGAAGCAACTGCCCATTGGCTTCTATTATAAGCATCTTGTTTTCTGTTCTTTTCTAAGTACTGTAATATTTGGCCATGATTATCAACCCTATGCTACAGATGCAGCAGATTGAGATATTGTTAAGAACAGACTGAGTATTCATTTAAATTGTCTGCCTTGTATTTATTTAACCGGATTCCCCTAAATAGTTTTTATTTATGGTTAAATTATACAAAAAGCATCTCTGTAAATTCCTGCTCATGTAGTCTTGCTTTCATCTTTACCGTCTATAATTATGAACCTAAATATCTGTTCCCATTCACAGACTGAATAAGCTGCATTTCTTGTGTAATCCTTTAGAATCGCCGCTTCATACAGGGTGTTTTCCATCATGACAGGTGTCCATCTTGCCTTACTTAGGTTTGTTGCGTTGCGTATGTGTTTGTACCAGGTTAATTTATACCATCAATTCTGAAAACACTGCCATGATGTACAGTTTTATGTCTGGGTTTTATTCTGTGGAAGTGTACTTTGTATTTTACATTGGTCACATTGATGTGCCATTTTTCTGCTGCCTGCCTGTAAAGTCACAAACCATAAAGACTATATAGTACAGTTTACAGTGTTATAAAATGAAGTTGAACAAACTGCATCATTTTCCTGTTCCAGGTTCTCTACGAGCAAGTGTATGAATTGCACATGTAAATATGTCAATAAAATTTTATGCTTTACTTGTATTTTACTCGTATTTTACTGTAATTCTTTTCTGTTTGTTTTACACTCTGGTCAGCTAAATTGCTCAGCACACTATTAATTAACTACAGACGGGTGACGGGTGGAAAAATCAGCATAAAGTTTACCTCCCCTGTGCATTTAATGTTTTCCAGGCTCTAATACACCACCTTTAACGGTCAGCTCTAATACACCACCTTTAACGGTCTGCTCTAATACACCACCTTTAACAGTCTGCTCTAATACACCGCCTTTAACAGTCTGCTCTAATACACCACCTTTAACGGTCAGCTCTAATACACCACCTTTAACGGTCTGCTCTAATACACCACCTTTAACAGTCTGCTCTAATACACCACCTTTAACGGTCAGCTCTAATACACCACCTTTAACGGTCTGCTCTAATACACCACCTTTAACAGTCTGCTCTAATACACCACCTTTAACGGTCAGCTCTAATACACCACCTTTAACGGTCTGCTCTAATACACCGCCTTTAACGGTCTGCTCTAATACACCACCTTTAACGGTCAGCTCTAATACATCGCCTTTAACAGTCTGCTCTAATACACCGCCTTTAACGGTCTGCTCTAATACACCACCTTTAACGGTCAGCTCTAATACATCGCCTTTAACAGTCTGCTCTAATACACCACCTTTAACGGTCTGCTCTAATACACCACCTTTAACGGTCTGCTCTAATACACCGCCTTTAACGGTCTGCTCTAATACACCACCTTTAACGGTCTGCTCTAATACACCACCTTTAACGTCTGCTCTAATACACCACCTTTAACGGTCTGCTCTAATACATCGCCTTTACGGTCTGCTCTAATACACCACCTTTAACGGTCTGCTCTAATACATCGCCTTTAACGGTCTGCTCTAATACACCACCTTTAACGGTCTGCTCTAATACACCGCCTTTAACGGTCTGCTCTAATACACCACCTTTAACGGTCTGCTCTAATACACCACCTTTAACGGTCTGCTCTAATACATCGCCTTTAACGGTCTGCTCTAATACACCACCTTTAACGGTCTGCTCTAATACATCGCCTTTAACGGTCTGCTCTAATACACCACCTTTAACGGTCTGCTCTAATACATCGCCTTTAACGGTCTACTCATTGAAGTCCTTTGTAAGGTTAAACTGGAAGTGTTGAAGCAGGAAAGCACTACAGTGCGAAGCAGGGTGAGCTGCTCTGAGAACAGGGCTGAGAAACAGTGCTCTATTCATTACAGAGGAATTCCACCAATTTTTCAAATTTCTGCATAATTCAGTCATTAAGATGTCATTCAGACTGGTTTGATGTGAAATGATTCATTGTTGAGAAACTTACCGACTCTGATTTCTTTACAGTGGTGGTGATAGGAACCAGGGGTCGCCTAGCCAGTATATATGTGTGTGTGTGTGTGTGTGTGTATATATATGTATGTATATATATATATATATGTGTGTGTGTGTGTATGTATGTATGTAACTCATATCTTATATGCCATGTAAATATGCAAATAGATATACTTTTATTCCTACTCTCTTATACATTAACTTATGTCTTTTTATTTCTATTTTTATTTTTCTGCATAGTTTATGTAAGTTTATGTGCATTTATATGTCTTGCTATGGAAACAATGCAATTTCCCTCTGGGATCAATAAAGTTTCATCTATCTATCTATCTGTCTATCTATCTAGATAATGATAAAACAGTGGTAAAAACTTTTTCTATGAGGACAATTTTGCCTAATAACACCCTGTAAATACTTATCTGCTATGACTGGATTTAAAAATGTTTTAAGCCAAAACCTTATCTATAAACTATCATAAAACGTCTTAGCCATCAAGCAGAGTATTTATAACCTTTTCATGTAATAACCTTAAGTGAGGTGAGAGAACGCCTGGTTCCTAACACCACGCCTAATGCTCTTTTCTTTAGGATGGAGCATTTCACAACTTCGACTTCGTTCACATCTTGATCAAAAGGATCAAAGGATCATTGAAACAGAAGTTTTGAAAATTCGGGGGAGTTGCCCTGTAAGTGCATAAACTGCGCCTCAGCGTCACGTGATTCATCTCCCTCACTGCTGTAGATGTCTGCCCGGCCCTGCAGGGGGGGCTGCGCTTCTCCGAGAGCCTGCGGTGAACTTTGAGCGCCTCCCAGATTCTCCTCGGAGTGGGAGACTGCAGCATGTGAGCCGTGGGCAGAGCGGAGCTGCGGCGCTGCTGTCGAGCTGGACTTTTGTTACTTTTTACATTTAAACTTTTACTTTTCTGAGCTCTGCGTCTCGGTGAAGATGAGCTCCTTCAGAGACTGAGCGCTGAGTCCGTGCGCAGTGAAGGAGCTTCAGTCTTCCAGAGATGTTCTGCAGGAACCAGACGTCCAGGGCCACGGTGGCTCGAGGCTCCGCGGTGGAGATGGAGGTCCGCCGGGGCCACTTTCGGCTCAGCGTGTTTGAGGACTCCGCACAGGTGGGCACTGCTCTAATCCGGGTCCGCCTGGGGGCGATATGGGGCACCCATATCGCCCCCCAGCTTGCAGCCCCCATATTGCAGCACCCGCTGACTGGCCGAGCTGTAGAACACTAGCTAAGTAGTGTGGGGCGATATATCGTCTGTATCGGTTTACCGTGATGTTTATTTTCAGTGTTAAAAGTGGTGATAGGTGTTGAACACTATCCACTCTTAAATGATGAAGGTGGTTCTTCAACGTTTCTTTAGTAAAGGCAGTGGTTCTGTATAGAACCGCGAACACTTAATTAACCATGTCTAAATCGTTGTTCAAATGGTGAAATGGTTCTTCAGATTGTGTTGTAAATGGTTCTATATAGCACCAAAACGAGTTCTATTGTATACAAGCGTGACAAAATAACGGGGTCGGCAACCGAAATATTAAGAAGAGCCATTTTGTCCTTTCAACAAAAATCAAACCACCTTGGGAGCCGTAACATTTTATGTCCGTTTTACCATCTTGGCTGTAAATATGTCTCAGTATATGCTGATGTTCTAGTATAGGCTAAAAAATATAATATAAACGTAAAGGCAGACTTACTTTGCTCTGCTTTAAGCTTTTGCTCAGCTGTAGCTGCTTTTCTCGCATCTCCGGCAGGAAACTTTTCCTCAAAAGTTCTTGTAAAATGTCTCTCAACATTCAACTTTTTACAATGCTGAAGTCAGCTTCTTACGGAGCCCCGCTGGTGATATCCTATATACATAAAAATAAAGCATGGCCATGACTTACAGGGAGATTCACTCGAAAGAGGCCCCGAATAGTCTGTAAAAACTCTCGCTAAGACGAAGCAATCTGAACCAAACAATGCACAATGTGCTCCGCAGTATATGGAGCTTTAAACAAGCCAGGATGCCTCTGCGTCTGAGTGATGAGGTAGGTACCGGACAGCCGTCGACACGTTTAACCTCCATTTGCAACTTCCTGGCGCATACCCCTGTATTCCTTCATGTGTCTGGCAGAAAATGGAGATCACTTCCAGCATCACATGTAATGTAATTGATTACACATACGTCAAGGTATGTAGCATTTTTTTTTTTTGGTTAAGATTGCTTCATCCTAATGGGAGTTACAACAGAATATTCGGGGCCTCTTTCGAGTGAATCTCCCTGTAGAAAGGCATGGGAAAGAGATCCTAAGGCCCATGTGCTAAACGCAAGGCCTGGGGGCCAAATCAGGCCCACAACACAATTGTATCCAGCCTGCAAAAGTGTTTTCATTTTCTATTAATATTAGCCTGTTTTACAGTGTGCTGCACTACAGTTCCCAGCATGCACTGCAATGTAATGTGTGCTCTGATTCTCCTATCCTAACAACAATCTATGGGAAAGCAGTCACACCTCCACACACATTCTACACAATTCCACGCCCATCGTATCACCAAACACACGAGCTGCAGTTCAGCCAGCATAAACACTTAACATCAGCTCAGCAGCTCAGAAACTGAGCCCAAACATTAATGAACTTGCAGCAGAGAAAGGGCGCCAGGTGTTTAGTTCAAGCAAACAGGCAGGTTTAAAAGACTGAGCTCCTGGGGACATTTAAATTCTGAATATTTCAAATATTCATGTTATATTTCAGTGTCTACTAAAAGTGCTTTTATTTTACTGCTGGAGTTTTGTATATTTTTTATAATGGCCGGTTTGAGTTATATATTTGTTGAGATTTTTGAATACGGCCCCTTTTTTTGACACCCCTTTCCTAATGCGTGGCCACGACTTAGTAAGACATGATCCCATTCCCACGCCTTACTAATTCGTTTCCACGCATTATTTTTTTATTTATATTGTCCCATTCCACCTTAAATAATGCAGCAGTTACATTCTGGTGTAATAGGAAGAATACATTTAAGGTGGAGTTGGAAGATTCTAACAAGAAGCTGGCAAATGAGAAGTTGACTTCAGCCTCAAAAAAGTCAAACATTGAGAGATGCTTTACAAGAAACTATTCACTTTCGAGGAAAAATTTCCTGCCGGAGATGCGAGAAGAGCGGCTAATGCTGAGGTGAAACTTATAGCAGAGCAAAGTAAGGCTGCGTTTTCATTTAAACTATGTTTTCTAGTCTAGAATAGGACATTAGCCAGCACATAGTAAGACATATTTTCAGCCGAGATGACAAAACGTTACTTCAGTAAAATGGAAATAAAATGTTGTGGTTTGATTTTTGTTGAAAGGATTTTGTTGAATGGCTCTTCTTAGCATTTGGGTTGCCGACCCCTGGCCTAGATCTTGCCCACACACTGTAAAGTGAGTAGAACTAATGGATGTGGCCCCAATCTGACCCATCTACATTGTTGGTCCACAACGTTCACTCCAGAATTTGTCCACAAATGTAGACATGAGGCAGAACCATATACAGCTGTCAGCATCAGTAAGCCAGAATCAGCCCAAACCCAGCAGCCCAGTCTGCTATCTGGGACCCATAGTTCCAAATATGTGTGTGGTGATATCAGAATGACTTCACCACTTTGAAAGTCTATAGTATTGATGCATGTTCTGAGTTCTAGCTAACCTAGCACTGTAGTATGCTGACTGCGTCTTCTAGGAGTTTAAGAAATCTAACTGCGCCTTCTAGAATTCTAAATAGATGTTCTAGTGTGTTCCGTTCCATCCATCGGCACTTCCGTGTACTACTTAAGCGTTCTAGAATTTTATACATTAGTTAAGCATTGTGGTGTGTTCTAGCTTCCTATTGGGTCTCCTGATGTCTAGACATGAGCCAAATGTTAGCAAATTCTACCCATTAATGAAATTATTCTATAGCAATCTAGTCCCCATTGGACAACGACACTACTTAAGGGTCCTCGAAACGTTCTACAGTTCTAGCACAGTTCTGAGTTCTAGCACAGTCCAGTTCCCTATCGGGGTGCCAGAAGTCTGTGTATTAGCTAAACATTATAGTCTGTTCCCTTTATACAGACAGAATTCTGTGCATTAGCGAAATGTTCTAGAACTGTGACTAAGAGTTCTAGAATTACATATACTAGCTAAGTTCTCTAGTATTCTAAGCACTAGCTAAGTGTTGTAGTTTCTCGTTGGTGGTAAGTAGTACTCATTCTAGCAAAGCAGTGTGGAATTGTACGTGCTAGCTAAGGCTGCAAGTGTATTTGGACCACAGCCATTGAAATGTGTGATCTTCAGACAAACGTATGTGTTAAACCTTTCAATGCTTAAGATTGTGGATGACCTCACCTGCGGCAAGGCCATGAGTCTGGACCAGTGGTGACCAATCCCAGTCCCGATGACTCCATGCACTGCATGCTCTTGTGTTTCCTGAAGTGAAGCAACTCTTTCAGTTAGTCATTTAATAAACCAGACCTTCAAAATGTGAGTCATATCAAGAGCCTGAGGTCACCTGGACTGAGGCTGGGAAGCGCTGTGCTGGAAGAGTCGACAGCAAATCAGTTGAGAAATTCACTAAACTGTATTAAGAGTTGGATTCCCTGATTGAGGTGGTCCAACCTGCTGCAGAGTTGAAGGACTCCAGCGTCTGAAGGCCATGAGATGAGCAATATAACATATCTGATGGCACTCTGATCGAAGTCTGGGCTCAGTGTATTCTGAGAAGATTTCTCTTTTTCTGTTCGTTTTTTTAAGTTTCACTAAAGGTTAGAGGTTCTTAACTCTTCACTGAAACCACTGGATTATTAAAACTCTCAGCACAAGAACCATTTAATGACACAACCATGTTTAAAGGATTATTAAAAGGGAATTATGCAGATTTTTCCTAATTTCTGCGTAATTAAAGTATTAAGATTTTAGATTAAACTCAGAAAGGTTAGACATCGAATGCTCAATTGTAAAGAAACTTATCCAGTTGTTCACAGTGGTGGTGATAGGAACCAGACGTCTGAAGGGCTTAATGTATCTCACAGAAAGTTTTTACATGAAATGGTTATGAATACTCTGCCTTCAAAGCCATTCATGACAGAGCGGCACATACAGAGCAACTTAAGGCTGAATAGTCCTCAGAGAAAAATTTTCAAACTTTCTCTATTTTTCTATTATTAGTATTACATAGAAAATCTCAGAAGTCACACGTAGGTTCACTGGTGGTTTCGGATATGGCTCTATGTGTGTTGTAGACATTGTGACCCCTGGTTCCCTATCACCACCACTGTAAACAAATCTGAGTCAGTACGTTTCCTTACAGTGAACCATTTCACACCAAACCACTCCGAATGACTTTGTTTACACAATTTGGAAACATAAGCAGAATTCCCCATTAATCTGTATTTGATTTGTTTCTGTTGATTGAGTCAAGAGCTAGATATTCTTACTGTACAAAAAGGGTTCTCTATCCTTTTATTTTAACAGAATTTTTTTAATTTGATTATTTAACTGCCCTAATTTAATTTTTCATTTGATTTTGAATTTAATGATATTCTCTTTTAAATCTATTGTATTAAACATGTTTTAATTATATTTTAATGTTGCTTTTAATTGGTTTTCTATTTGAATGTGAAACAACTGTATTTCCTGACTCTATTTTCTCATTTGTAAAGCACTTTGAATGACAGCAGTGTATGAAAGGTGCTGTATAAATAAATGCCTTGTCTTGCCTATATAGTACCAAAATGGGTTCTTTGGCTTGTAACAGTAGTGGAACCCTTTTTGGTGCTATATAGCAGCCTGTGGGCCATGAAGCACCTTCTGGTGGTCCGTGGGCCTGTACTCAGGGGGAGACAGTCATTCGTAGTGGGCCGGTAGAGATGTGTCAATAAAATATTGCTGTCGCAGGCCAATTAAACATCATCAGTTTGAGGCAACGCAGCCACGTGCGCGCAGTGCAGAGACAGCCAGAGATGGAGAGGTTCCTCAGGGTGCTTCTCCTACCTTGTTTGTTACGGACCTATCAAACATTTTTCTTTAGTTCGCTCCCTTTTGACGTGTGACCCGCGGGTCTCAGTCCGCTTCCAGCCGAACCCTGTTTAGTTCACTGTTGGTGGGATTATTGTCGATT